TATAACAAACATGTTTGGGTTTTTAGCCTGCACTTTAGCCCTTGATTTTTCTTATCGATTTACAGTCGGTCTCAAGCGTCAACGGGGCTTATGCTTCACGTGCTTGGCATATGGCGTCTCCTCTGCGAAAGCTACAGCGAAGAATACCCTACAACGTTTTCAAGACTAGCGAATACCCTTCTTGTGCCAACAGCCCAATCGTGCCATGACAGCAAAGACAGTCATCTCGTTAGTATTTCCTCCTACATTTGAGATACGTGCCATCCATATAAAGCCCCATTTACGTTTCGTTACACTCTTCGAATTGACCGAATGGGGTGAAGTAACTGATTTTGTGTTTCTCGTTCTGTTGGGCGATAGGAAGGCATGCTGTTCCTAATAATGGGTCAGATATCTCTAGTTAGTGACCGTGCAGCAAGGATTCTACTTCTTGAATGGACTCAAGACACTGCCGAGAAAGCCTTACGTTTCGGCCGTCTCCGTAATAGTCCTCAGCTGAGAACAATTCTTGCAGCTGCATTAGCAACCTGTGCTGCAACATTAATGGAGGATAAAGACAGGTTAGTAATCATACTATCATACATGAATTTTGCTTCAATTCATTCGGCTCGCAAGTAGAATGGATAAGAAATTACCTCTACTTATTTTGAGTTTTTTGCATTGTATCAAGTTCCCATTGTTTTTTTTTACTTAGCTGCCATCGCGCATACGCCACTAGAAATAACTGGATATAATACGATTTCTTTAAGCAAAACAACTACTAGTATTATTAAGTAGTAACGTTTCTTTTGGTCAGCGTTTAGTGGTTACCGGTGTATAAGTAGTATATATATTAAGAGCGCAGGCTATTTTAATCTCGTAAAAATGGTTTCAATGTCGACCGCCATAGTTCAAATAGGAAATACCTATTTTCTAATCTACGGTAAACCAATGTGGAAACTGTTCTGCAATTCAAGATGAGTTCCATTACAGATACTGACACTCGAATACAAATGAGATGACGAGATGTTCCTGTCTGTTGCCAACAACATAGAAATCGTGGTCACACACAAAACCGTACTTTTCGTGACATTAGCATGAAAGTCAGGATTAAATTTGTTAGTAATCCCGCTATTAAAGCTTTCGTTATTTTCTTGATGTTTTACATAAACATAATAGTGTGGCCTGTCATATTGCAATCGGAGAAGTAAAATGACCAGATAGGTTCCACATGGTCTGTGAAGCAGATTTGACCCTAAAGTAAGCCTTAGTAAATGTAATCGTTAATCTCTAAAAATCAACATTACCTTATTTCAGGTTTACGTTAGACAAGCACAGAAGCGGAGATGGGCCGTCATCCAATGATGCAAACAGTGCCTCTAAACGATTGAAGGTTACCACATTTGAGTTAGGAGTGCTTGCCGGTTTCGACAATTATAAGAAAGCTCGAAATGATCTGGGCGCTACTAGCCTTTGGTATATTACATTTACATAAATACAATGATTTTTGCGTTCAAAAACTAACAGCTTTTACTTAAGTGTCTTGAAAAATTCTGTCGAAATACGATAAATATTTATTCTTGAAAAATATCGATGAATAAATTGTGCATTTACACAAGGAATATTAACTTATATTATTAAACAATGCATCTTTACTTGTTTCTTTTCTGTAGGTTGGAAGTAGTGCAGAACTACGTTGAGAAGTGTCCATCGACAGTCACTCCAGGGGCGTGTGAGAGTCTTATAAAGGAAGTATGCTCCGAAGTGTTAGTTCGGCCGCTCAATGTTCGAGCACATCTCATTGATGTTCTCAAATCTCTCTTAATATTCCAAAAGGCAAATAATCGTGATCCGTCCCAACAAGTATTGGACGTTCTCGTACGGACGCTTGATGCCAATCATTGCGTTGATAATGTCTATTCCATTATGGACCTAATTTTTAAGTCGAATACCGACACAACATCAGTTCGAAAGGCCCTTTTTCGAGGACATCATGTAAAATCTGAAAAAGGGATGGTTGTTTTAAGGAAGCTTTGCATCCACAACCAGATCTCGCAGGAGCGCTATCAGCCGCTTGAATGGATATTCGGTTTAAACACGAATCAGCTAGCGATGAAAGCTAACATCATCCTCGCATTGTGCCTTAAACGGACGTCCTGCGCCTTCGGTCCTGGAAAATTAACAGTAGAATGCCTTCCACATATCGTTGATGAAGTATGTCATCGGCTAAACTCTTGTATGAATGAGAGCGTGCATTTTCTCTACGTGGCAGTGTTATTCATTTTGAAAATCTGCCGGGTCCGAAATCAGCCTGCAATGTTGGAACCATTGATGGTTGGAGTCCAGGAGGCTCTTCGGGATCGTATGAAGTCTTTAACACTAACACACGATGAGCTAATGTGTATTATTGAATTGCTACAAGATTGTCGTGATCACTTCATTAACAGGGTGATCAAATTCAACTTTGCGCCGTTCGTGCAAGCAGTCCTCAGAGAGCTCACCGAGAAGTTTCTAAGCAGTAGTCGCACTCAACTTGAAATGGCGATGGGCGTTGATTTACCCCCCTCAGATGAGCGTAAGTTTATTCGGACGTGTCCCAGTTTCTGTGAGAGCGAATTCACATATTATCTGCTAATCATAGTAAGAGAAGTCTGCAACATTGTACTAATATACGTAAGAAAATGGCACATCGTGGCTGCCTAACAGGCGCGGTAATGTCATTGCGGACCACTCTGTTAGGTCAGATTCAAAATTGCTTATTGCCAACAATAACCTTAGAGAGTTGGTTACTCACGCTCAGGTAATTCAACTACTTGGAAACGATCCTAGCGAATTTCAAAATTGCATTATTTCGAGCGGAAATACAATATGTTGTAGAATGCGTGCTACCTATATGTTTAGCTGTACATGAGCTAAAATCCTTAACCTTTCTGACATGTGACTCAGCTTACTTTGCATGTTAAGTAAAAAATTGTATGTATTTGAGACGCTTGATGGCATTCGTACTAATTTCCTTCCACACATGTGCGTCCTTCTGTTCTTAAACAGCTGATTGCGATGGGATGCGGCTAGACGAAGAGCTGAAAAAGTTGTCCGCGATGTGTCGTTTTCTTTCTCTACACATCCTTGTACAATGCAAATCTGCTGAGCAAACTCGAATCGAACGGGCTCGTTCAGATATTCAACGACTGCTCGAAATTTTAGCAAATTTACCTGAGGAAAGACTCAAGGGTCCACTAATGGTACGGATTTTAGCTCTGTTGGTGCAGCCTCTTCTACAGGAACAGTGTCTTTGGAAGGAGGACGATGATCAGCTTTTGGAACAAATAGGAGCGATGCTCAAGTAAGTTGTTCCTCCTTGTCATTTCAACAGCCATTAAAAAACTATCTTATAATATCTTAGTGGTCTGATCGAAACTATTTGGTAACTCCCATGATACAATATTTTTGTCATACAACCCTATCGCATTATTCGAGATTATTTAAAAAGGAAATAAAAGTTGCTTTGTTGAACTTTTATGTGGCTTTTCATATATGACCATTTCAGGACACAGCTTGAGCTTACGTTTAATAAGCCGGATCTAATTGAATTAATAATGCCTTCTATCAAAAATTACATTCTCTGCTCGGCAAGTGTTTATAATGATAGAGATACGCAGGTCACAATTTTAGCTCGCCATCTCATCCGCAGACTTATCGTGAGTTTTCAAGAGTTTCAAACTCATAATACGATGTTTGGAAAAGCCGTTCTCAACGTGCTTAGGAGTGCGGTTGACATCGACCCAAAAAAACAGTGGCTTTATTTTAATCCCTCTGGCGAAGATTGCCGTATCGGCATCGTTGAACTCCTTGTTGAGAATGTCAACTGTCCTGCGTACCATATTAGGAAGGAGGTGTCAATACAAATACCTCCACTGTTCTCTCACCCTGAACTCTCCTTAAATTCGAAAAAGCTCTTGCTCGACCTAATGTTTGACTCATACGGCACTTTTACAAAGGGTATCATTGAGAACGTGCAGGAACAACAGATGCAATCGGATAGTAAGGTATCAAACTCGAAGGAGAACTTCACCGAAAAACTTTCGTCGAGCGTGACTCTATTCGGTAGAATTCTTAGTCAGCTAAGACTGACTGCACCGCGTCTTACGGCGCAGTCGCTTGCCAACTGCTGTCGTCTATGGAGGGCGAAATGTCTATTGGATGAGAATCTTTTGGAGCTGTTTCGCAGTATGGGAGATATTGATGAACTGCTGAATCAACATTTATCGCAGCTACTTGTGGTATGGCATAAGCGGTTTATGTGCACATTCGAAATGGACGAGACGGATAAAAGCTTTCCATTCTTCATTAGTAAGGACGTGAGACATTTTATGAGGTAAACAGCTATCGAGTATCTACACAACATAGCAATTCAATTGTCTGCATTCTCGAAAAAAAATTTGGTTAGGGAAAAAGTGTATTTGAAGTGGTTTAGAACTGAGTGAAATGCTTTTATGGCTAAATTGAATAGATCAAATAGCCTGATATTAAGAAGTTACTCAGTAGAGACACGCATATGTGAACATGCTTATACACCCATAGGTATCCGATGATTTCTATATACAATGAACGCAAGATCTCCAAGGTCTATACTAGATTGATTTAAAAGTTTCTGACTTTCCTCTTTCTTTATTTTTTTTGACAGCAAATTTGGTCACATCGTGTTTCCGACACTTCTTATGTTAGGCAATACTGAAGCGCGTGATGCGATTCGAGGTGCGTTTGGGGGTTCATTAGCAACTTACTTTGCGCCGGTAGCCGCATGCTGCCTTCTCAACAAAGAAAATTCCAGGTTTTTCGCCGAATTGACAAGGTCGCTGGAAGTGGATAAAAAAATGGCCGAATTTCTGATTCCAGTTTATACGCGAATCATTTTGTCGTTACGGGCAAGGTAAGTATCCATTTAGTTTTCGTGATATAGTTCGTTAAGTACTCTCGTGAAATTAGTTGTGTTGAACATATTGAAAGATTACATCGGCCATGAAAACACGATTGCATATTGTAGGGTTAGAGAACCTCTTTAAAAATTTCATGGACTTAAACTTTCACTTACTCCAATAAGCCATAAGATCGGTTTAAGCGAATGATCAATTATACATACATGAATCGCAACATAAGTGCATTTAAAAAAAAATTTGAGACAAATTAATAATTTTAGATATATGCTGTTTTGATAGCTCGGAACTGGATGACATAGAAGTGACTTTTGAAGCGGACGCCGTTGCGATGGCTTTGGGTAGAGCAGCCTCATTATTGCAGAATACTCAACTGCCGCAAGAAGTAGAATCAATTGAGCCATGGATGCCGTTCACTCTGAAGACTGTCCCCCAAGCAAAATTACTACAGCTAATTGCGAACGTGGTCTCGTCACCTCAACTGATCCATAACCCGTTAGTATCAACTAACATATGCTGTAGGTTTAAAAAAAAGGGTTCCGTTGTATATTCTACCGATACAAGCGTAAATGCTATGCAAAACCTTAACTAAAGGTTAGAAACAAAAGTGGGGTATTATAGTTGTGTTGGTGCCACCAAAGAGCTATTACAACCTTTTTGCTTAAATCATAAATTGTCTATCGGCTCGCTTCGATGTGATGGTTCTTGACACAAAAAGAAGAAAGAGGAACCTCTGAGATTTTTCATTTAGTATAATAAATAGTCATACTTCACAAGAGTTATTATCAATATATTAAATACTGTATCCTCGTTACTATATTCTGTTTTTTTATGTATCCTAAAAAAATACAGGGTCCGATGTATGAAATGCCTTACATTTATCGTCACCTACATTGTCATACCATTGGCAAGATACGGTGGTAATAGTGCAGGCTGTGCTCTGCCAGCTGCAACATCAATGCTGTTCGCTCGTTGTTGTCAGCTGCTGCTCGATTTTTCTGATGAGCCTGATATTCGACAGGACTGTGTGCCTGCTCTGGCCGCACTACTCGACTTGGGCACAGATACGACACTCCTGATCGCGCCCGCCTTGGCTGTGACAGAACGTCTACGCGATGACGATTTAACCCGGTGTCTCTTTGCCCGCATAGGCGCTCTAACAGATCTAGTTGTGTTTCGACCCGATGGTCTCGCGGGATCGCTAAAACTTAACGATATGATATCGCTTGTAAGTTAAAATGTTTTGAGTAATGCACTGCACGGATTAATCAATCAAAGTTGAGTGGATGCCTCGTATAACTGCTTTATTAGTTTTTTTTTTATCTTACGCTCTGTCGTTTTGTGTAGTTTCTTAGAATCGATATATAAATACATATGAAATTTGCATGCAGACGACTCAAACAGTTCTCGTAGTGGTACGATGATATGGTGTTTTTGTACTAAATTTAGGGGGCATGTAAAATTGTCTGGATTCGAAATCGGACGTAGGCAAACACACAAGATTGTTTCATGTTGGAAGAGGTGATTCTCCATCCTAAAGAGTGGTTAAAGACAGTATCGCACGTACTACTTGAAATATTTCTATTCTAAGCTTGCTTATGAGACAATCTGAGTTAAATTTCTGTCTGTTTTTTTGTTGATCAATCGCGCGGAGATATTTCAACCTATTTTTGAAATCATCACGATTAGGTGCTGATCATTTGTACACCGCCATTCAATAGTGTGACATATGCTGTTTAATAACAAGTGCCCGTGTTATTTACGCTTGTTTTGCGATTATTTTGGGTACGGTTAGATACGTAGCGTATACTTCTACATGACCAATGATCAAAGCGTTCACCCTGTGAGACTTTTGGCCCGCATCCTTCGTCATCCCGAGCTGCGGCGATCACTCTTCTCGATGGTAGAACATAACGGACTCAAGCTACAAGCGCAAGACATTTCAATTAAAGAGTATCCAGGCTACGTCCTTTTGGCTGTGATCCTTGACCGATTAAAGACGTCTTCAGGACCGGTAATCCGACCTCACATCGGCAGTATTGTTTCATATTATATGGTACAGGAATAGTAACATTCATGATAGATTAGTAGTATTTTTCAGAAAAATTGCTCAACAGCGTTGCAATGACGCTTGACCTATATGCTTATGCTGTTTTGCCCATGGCATTTCTATTGAGCAGGTAATTTCTTGCAAGGCTATTCTTGTGTAAACTGAAACAAATTACAAAAACAGAACACGATTACACGAAGAGCGAATGACAAACGGGATAATATTCATTGATTTAGCATCCTCATGTAACAGTTATAGGAGTAGTATCAGACCATCGGAATTCTTTGGTCAATCGAATAAATAGCCTTTTTATAGTTCCTTGAACATTCATAGCCTACAAATTCTAAATTATACACCACTGTTTATAGGAGACGGCAGCAATTTTTTCCTGCCTTGACACACTAGGAGCGGTGCCGTTACAGTCTTGGACGCTGCGGCCTTTTCTGCACGAGTTCGACAATCCGCCACTGCCATACCTATGTCTTCCTGATGCCGATGGAGCGGCCGGTAGTGGCGTTATCGTGTCTTTTGCGCAGCACCGAATCGTAGAACGTCTGCTCTCCGCACTTCAATCGGGCTCACAATCTCACCTAAATGTTCTCACAGATTGCCTGGTCGAATTGTTTAGGGGTGACATTGGAGTAGAAATCACCTCATCGTTCGACTCCAAAAACAGCCTTCTCGCTGACCATGTGGCAGCATTCAAATCACAAAAGGGCAAACGGGTTCTACCCATTATCCATTTCGATGAAGCGGACGCGCAAAGATCTGACTTCGACTTGGCTTCGTTTGTATTGCGCATCGGCACCGAACAAAACGAGGGATCATGGTTCCGTGAAGCCACTGAGATTCTTATTGCTGCCAGCGTTGATACGTTTCTTATGACAATCATGCCGTTATGCCAATGCGACGAGAAGTTGTGCTCGTAAGCCAGTGACTACGAAATATTAATTAGCTTATAATGGGCATGAATATTGAATAATGGTGATGAAGAAAAAAAAAAGAAAATATTTTTCTACTTAGTCTATAAACTACTTTTTATGCCGAATTACTTCATCGGTTGTGATTTTGTTTATAAAATATAATTGCTTTTTCTCTTCTGTCGTATTTAGCGAGTATATTCAGTTAAAAAAAAAATTGTTATCAACTTGTTATATTTTGCATACACTGCTTTGTCCACAGCGATATCTTTCCGAGTGTTATGTACTGCGTTCATGCGCAGGTCAACGGGAGACCTCTGCTGAACGATTTGGTTACTAAAGCGTTTGGCCAAGTGGGAAACGTTAATCTGGAAGGCTCATGGACCCCTGGAGCTAAAATCATTTACACGAGGCTAGTGCAGTTTGTTTGTCTTCTTCATTTACATGGGGAAAGCATCGACCAAATTGATTTAATGGCAGTCGCTCAGACAGCTTGCCTTTGTGGCCTCCACGAAAGCTCATTATTGCTCCTTACTTTATGGTGGGAGCGATTTAACGCTCGGGAGGGTAAGCGTCATCCAGTCGCGTTTCACGAATACGACGGCAAAGTGAACATGTCAGCTGTTCAGGTAGGCGGGAAACGCGCTTAACGTTGAATATATTAACAAGATTGCTTACAGTCCTTTGTGTATTTCACATAGAATGTCGTGTGTAACCTGAATATTTATGAAATAATATTAAATTTATTTAGAAAACAGCAGTTTGGAAGTAACATAGCTTTTAATTGTAAACTTAGAAGATTCTAGTGCGATGTTGCGAAGCTTTGGGGGTTCGCGATAGTCTTTTCGGCTGTTTTTCCCGTCGAGCAAGTGACGACGTGGTACGAAGGGCATTAGGGCAACCGTTTAATCATCTGGAGATTCTCTTCGAAAAAGGGGAGTTTCGCGCTCTCCGAGATATGGTACGGCTTGGATCAGGCTCTGACAGTATTGTTCGAACGTTCGAGCAGTACGCGGTGGATTGTGCGTTCCGACTTGGAGAATGGGACCAGGTGTAAGTGCTATTCCCTCCATTACTAGGGTTTGATAAAAGGAAAAAAAGTTGTCATTTATTGAATCACTTACCTTATCTTTTACTTCTTCGTATTCAGTATTGCCTGCTGTCTTTGTGTAGGTTTCTTTGACAAATAGATTCGAAGATTTGGGACTAAACCCATTACCACAGTTTCGCAAATGTAGAAAATTCGTCGTACTATTCAGTGGGGGACACCAAAGGTTGCTGTTGGTGTAATTTTTGCAGTTGCATATTTGTCTTTCTGTTTAAGCTAGTAGATAACCCCTAAGCTAACCAACAGGACCATTCATCTGCTTTTAGTTCGGAGGATGGAAACCCAGTGATGTCGTTCCGAGAGTCAACGATGCTTGGCCTAATCGGAATTAGCTCAGCGGACGGCCAGCTGCTGGAACAGGCTGTAAAAGCGTGCACAAACGCACTAATATTGAAGGCGGCCAACACTAATTTAAATATAACTTATGAGGTTATTCGGTTCTTAGTGCGCGTCGATCAGGTGCAATTGCTTCAAGGCTATTTGGAGTCTCGTAAGTACGCTGGCGGTGTAAGCACTGCAGGGGCCTGGGATAGCTTTACCAGTGCTAGCGAACGTCGATTCAAACGGGAGATACCCTTTGAGATATCTGAAGAATATCTTTGGCTTAAAACGGCAATATTCAAGTAAGTTTCGCGTAGATCAACTTCTGAGAAATGGAAGAGAATAAAAGTTAATGTGCCGTGCTTCTGTCACAATACGGTTATAACTATTTTATACGTTTCTTCTGTTTTTAGGGATAGTTAATATTAACTTAGATTCAATTTTCTTTTCTAACGGGATTTCCTAAAAAAAGACGAAATGCAATAAAGACTATTACCGAAATTTATACTTATAGGTCAACCTTAATAAATCAATGGTCAACTTTTATTTCGGCCCCGTTATGTAGTCGATTTTTCTAGTTGCAGTTAAACAGCGTCTATAAGTAAAGCCTCTACACACCTCTAAATTGTTCGCAGGTCTAAGAAAGTAATATTATTACTGTTGTATAAGATATTAATTCACTTTTACTAAGCAGTAGAGTACATGTAGCTGAAACGTGTATTCACTGAGTATCTGTAAACTTCATTTTCTCAGGACCCTACCGCACATCGATGTAGGAGAACATCTATTAGGGTATGGCACTGCTGCCGTGCAATCATCAAAGTTGAACTTGGCCCGCGCTGCTCTTCTGCAGCTCGAGGGTGTACGGGACTCCGATAAACTGCGCTTCGCTTACCTTCAAGCTGCCACTCAGGCCCATATCGTGAGTTCAATGAGGTGCTTTCTGTTGTTTTATTTTTTCGATGGAGATACGTTGTTATTGTCGTGGCATACATTATTGTGTCTTTTAGGAAAGGAAATGGCTAAAGCAGCGTGCTCGAGTATATTAAGGCTATACATTAGTGCACTGGCTACCTCTGTCTGCATGTCTGCCTGAATTCGCATACCATACCATTTTTTGTAAGTTGGGTATTACCTTACTATATCTATATATATATATAGATATAGTATACCCTATATATACCTTACTATATCTATATATATATAGATAAATATATTGACAAAATTTTGATTGATCTGAAGTCGCGTTCAAAGACATATGGTTGTCTATCTTGTTTTAGTTTATCTAGCATAAATTCAATTTGCTCGAGGCATTGTCTGCAAATATTCGTCACTGTTTATCATCAAATTATCATTCTGAGAATGCTTTTCTACATCTTGTGCTCATGGATGATCTTGCAAAAACTTTTAATATATATTGACTTTGCTTTGGGTTGGACCGCAACTCTTCATTGACCTCTTTTGTAGGTAAGCATTCGTTGATTTTCTTTGTTTGTTTGCCAATGTAAAACGATGATTACGCATTGGTTAACGTGCACTATGCTGGTTCATTGCTGCCCAGTGCGGTCTGGCTACATACATTCGTCTGTTCCCAATGAACTCATTTCGATGTAAACGAACCTGTTCACACCGAACAACGTTCACGTTCAAGTGGTACATTCGTGCACCGGATCTATTCGCGTATGTTCTATGTCGTCTAGAGAAAAAAGGCCATCAAACGGATGATGCTATGATGAACGTATGTGAACTCCATCTTCTCTAATAGTGAGCATCTGCTGTAATTCAGTAGCGGACGAACGAATTCAGAGTGACTTGTGTTTGTTATTGCAGCCAGCGTATTTGTGAGCAGCGGTCCTATTTCGGCCGCCATAGTTCCTTCGTGTTGACAAGTTGACGCACAGCAATGTCTCAGGACGTTGAGATGGTTGAGGCTGCCGTGAGAGTGCGCCGTAGTCCGCGCCTCCAACAAAAGGCTGCAGTAATTAGTCCAATGGGTAGAACACCAGCAGAAAGTCACGTAATGCCGCACGTGGTTGATTTTGTGAGTCGCGCCACACAAACGGAAAAGTTTACATGTGATAGAGGTGTTCAAATGGAGTCAGAAAGAGACCAGCTGACTTCTGCAATAAGTCCGATTAAGAGTTGTATGCACAACTATGCAGCTAGGTTGCCAGACGGGCAGACTTCGTCCGTGCTGGTTGCATGCACAAAACGAATAGCCAGCAATACAGCAAGAACGCCAACTGTTCGGGTGAATCATCATAGAATGCACTCAGTTACATCACCGGAGTCGCTCACAGATGAGCTCCGAACTCCATCAACGGACCCTCGACGGCCGGCGGCTCTTGACTCTCAGATTGAGACAAGTAAAGAACACCGGTTTCTGATGCCAACGCCTCTGATGAGCCCTAGTGTGCAACGAAGTTTGAAGATGTTGGCTGCTAGCCCTGTTAGAGCGAAATCGGGGCAGTCCTGGGGCTCAAGTACCCCACATATAAATCAGAGCAGGCGACCCATGGGCACCGCATCGCGAAGTACTCCCAGAAGGTCGTATGCCGAGCGAACTCGTTATTTCGATGGTGACTCGGCCTCAGTGCAAGAGAAAATAAGTTCCACTCGTGAGCGTAAACCAAATCGGCACCCCGGATCATCAGCTAGCGCCGTTGACTCCTGGCTAGCAGATAAGGAAAAGCGCGCAACCGCTATGCTGAAGTCCGCCATGCGAGATATTGCCCAAAGAAAAAAACAGGATTCCGTTAGGGAGCGTCGAGTCAGCTGGGGTAGCATATGTTCGTCGCCTTCAAAAAGGCGTCGGGTTGAAGAGATTTCCCACCAGCCGACTGCCGGTATTACCACCAAAGCACGATCGTCGACGTCATCGTCGCGCTCTCTGCTCATGGTTGCTGCCGCTCTAAAGGCCCAGGGCCAAGATCGGCCTGGAACGCCTTTGGTCGCTCCGGAAACTGCCGTCATGCAAAACCCTACAACTGGGCTTGCGATGGAACTTCTGTCGCCCTCACGTTCGCCCATTTCATCTTTGACCCGTCTATCACTTCTATCACCCAAAAAGGAACGGGGTCATACAACATAAGAACATGACATGCACCCTAGAAAATGCACCGAAACCAAATTACTTGAACCGAATCAGTTCAGCATCGATCGTTAATGATCGACCTTAAGTGGTCGCAATAAAGCGCATGTAAGGTGACTGTTTTTTAGAGTTCCCAGAGAACGCAATGAAGATCCGTCATGCGTCGATCCTGCGTGTTTACATGTCGCACGGGTTATACTTATGTCTAGTACTATAGAAATGCGCACGAGTTGAATAGAGTTTGCACTTAGACAGGTCCCGACCAACTTTAACAAATCTACTTGTTTTTCGATAATGAACCCGTTCGGAGACGTCCGTTATTATATGTGCTACTGTCCTCTGCCATGCTGTGTGCTCCAATCGGTGCCTAATTCGAACTGTCACAAATATCAGCATTTCGGATTATCAGAAGGATATATTCGTATCCTTCTATACATATATATATATAATAACTCAATGTACGTTAATCCATCTATGTGAAGCGATCAAAGATGCCTACAATATCAACACGGGTCAGGATGAATCTGTATATTGTAATATCGATTGATTTTTTGTATATCCCCCGTATCGTAATCACAGGAGCCTTCTACGCATACGAATCTATGTGGTGTTGCTGTTGTTTTGTTTTCAAAGATGGAAAAATAAACATGTACTCTATTTTTGTTCCGTTTACGCGTGCCTGTTCTGATTACCCGCAAAAAAGTTCATACCTGTAGAACATCTGTAAAAATAATTATTGTAAGTAACTGATACATCCTTCAGAGTGATATAAATAGAAATTGTCGTGCATCAAGAGTACCGAACCAACTAATTTTCCGTTGAAATAATGCAACAATAATATTATCGAGTGTCAATCGTTCTTTATTGGTATTCAACTACGGTGCCTGCTCGCCAGTAACAGTAGTGGCAAAGCCTGTATTGTAATGGAGTTCTTATTTGAAGTTCCATTTTATAGTTTAATTCTTCCTAAGTTTTCCGAAAGTTTTACAAGCGTCCACTCGTGAAAACATACTATCCGCATTTACCGCTATTATTACTTAGAGCCATTTGTTCATTTAAAAGGTAAATCAATCAAAACCTTGATTTTTTTTGTTAACCTTCCCTGCAGCAGATACGTTTAGTAGCTTTTTATAACTCCACACATCACTTATAGTCAGGGAATGCTCTTAGTCTAAATCTACTAATTATAAGAAATGGCCATTTCTACATTCATACCTCATTGTATACCCAAAATCTAGTTTGTGCTGCTTGTAGCTATCCAAGCTGAATAAATGAACAACCTAACCAGCTTTAGGCTTAAAAACTAACGCAATTTAATGCCTTGACTAGTAAACTTGAACTTTGGCACTTATTTGTTGGCATTTATTGACTTCACTTACATACTAGTTTTATGAGTCTCCAATAACTTACTTTTAAAATAGTGGTTCCACGGCCAATTGTTAGTTAATAGGTTGCATGAACTAAATTGGCGCTTGAAAAGCCAAAGGGTTAAGCTTTGCCATAGTATACTATGACACAACATGTATAATTAATTAGAACGAGGATAGTGATAAGTCTTTCTCTTGCCAGAAATCTTAAGATCTGATTACAAATAGTATAATAATATTAATATTTAATATTATTATTTTAGTTCCCTTTATTTATTGATGTGCCAATGTGGTCTTCCAATTGAACGGGCTGAAGGTACTTACGTACGTGGCGTTTTTTCTTATATATTCCGTATGTGTGTGTCACCTATAAGCCTAAAGACATGCAATTTTTTTTACCGCAGGATGTCAACGATATAATGACGGAACAATTGAGTGCTCGATTAATGGCTGATCTGGCAGAAATGGACGCAGACAACTCAGTTACTGTAAATGAGCTACGAGCTCGAGCTATGCTGCTTCGTGGCCGCGTTCTTAGTGCCACTCAGAGAGCTACCCCGTTGGACATCGCCGAGCATTACTTCAAACCGGTCAGTAAAAAGTACTCCAGAAATTCAGCAAAAACTAGTATTATCTCTGAACAATCAGCAACTTGCCAAAGCTGTTGCCTCTATGTATTGATGGAATTCTTTTGTACAACTAATAGGTAAATTTAAAACTTTTAACAATAGTACAATAGCTTAGGATTCATACTCTAAGAGTTAAGATAGGAGGAAATAGAGCGAATTTAAATGTGCACAGCATGTACATGCTTACATCTCAATATTTCATCATAATTATCATGAACTCCTTGACCATTGCTCGATCTTTATGTAGATTTTGAACGAACCGCACTTTTTTGTATGTTTCAAAATGTATTTGTGGAAATTTGATAAATTTATAAACTGCATAAACTTCATATTATTAAATGACATGCAGCTTGGTACAATCTTGAGTATTGCAAAAGCTAAGTTGGGCCCGGCAGTCTCACCTGCCTATTACACCCTTTAATTATTGAAGGATTTGTGTTGTTAATTCAGAAAATTACTGCGAAACATTTTGCTACTGCCCCTGATTATCTCTAGGGCAAAATTTCCTAAGCATTCAAGAGTTTCACTTAAAGGTAAAGAAAACTTATCTTTGTTTATTATTTGAAATTATCTGGTCATGACATAAATTATGAAAAAAATATGCATATTACGCTTTCTAGACATATTATCTCCGCCCGAGGCCCATGTGTATATAGAGGTCACGTGCTCCACATTTTGTAGGCGATATCTCAACCAGAATTCTGTTGATCTCACTAACTTTGATTAGATAGCAGTTGTGCGGTTTCATGACTCATACCAACGTTTTGATCCGTTCATTTGATTTAAAAATGATCCACAAGTTACGAGCAATACAATGTGGGTTTTCTGATTACCACAGCATATATTTGCGAGCTTTTTGAGTCATAACGGTTTGAACGAGAGCGCCCAGTACGCCTAGAGTAATTAAACAGCATGCGAGAATCCTCTGTCGAGCCACGATCTGAGGGTAGCAGCCGATCACAGCCCGCGGTGGCACTTGAAGTTCTTCAGCAACCCTGTCACAGCTACGCAAGCCGTCTGCGAAAGGATCTGGCCTTTCTGTCCAGTCGCTATGGTTCCACATGCCACAGCATTTTTGCCACTCCTGGAAGCGGACCAATTCGTTGAGCGATGTTTGATCGTGATCCTGGATTCTCTCGAGAAGCTCGGTAAAGTAGAATCGGTATCCTTCCATGTAGCTATCCCGCAAAAGTAAACAGCAGCCCAGTCCGGCTACAGCCAAGAGAAGCACCACAATTATTGAACTGTACACAGATGTGGGGCGTTTCCGAGCGGAGGACACAATCACAAAGCCTATTAAGCTTGTGCACTGGAGAGCTACCGCAAGGCTGAGTAGGACGATAGTGCTGGTCCGGTCCTTAGAGAATTGGTCGGTAGCGAATCGGAATGTGGCCATAGAAAAGAAGATTCCGCCAATCAACAACGGCAGAATGCCGAGAACGTGCGATGACCACGGAATAAAACCCATCATCACGTGTTGGATAGACGTGGTGTGATCAGATGATTGAGGCATATCCCTGCCGACTGTTAGTTAGTTAGTATTAAATAGCGATAAATGCTAACACCAACTTAGAAGGAAAAATCCTAAACTACTGGTCCAATAAATTAGTTAAATCAAGGAGGATTGAACAGCACAAACCAACGTGCTGTACCGTCTGACTGAACATCGACTGGAGTGAAAAACGTTCGCCGGGGAACCGCCCAGGACCGACTCACACTGCACGTCTTGAAATGACGGCGTTATGTTCCATCGGGGTTACTGCTTCAATCGTATGGTGACTTCGCTGCGAGAACGCTCCAATTGGAGCAGGAGTATGACGGTCATTGAAGGGCTCATTTTACACAAGCAAATGTATGGTTTCATTAAGATTCAGAACGGTTCTGTTTCGACGTGCAAGTATCGTGTGCTATCAGCTAAGGCCTTGGTGGCGGTCACGGACTGCCGCACGCTTTCTGCTTGCCATATTTTACAAATATAGTGTTAAAGTGATGGTATAGGGCGCAGTATGTATGTCTATATCCTTCTGAGGTATCGTAAACACGTATGCTCAATATGTGCGTGTTGTGTAAGGAGGTTTAGTAATAGAATAATAACTCCCCGTACAATTAGCTAAAAATGGTTCACTAGTATGTTGTATTAAGGACAGGACCCTAACATGGTTGTACTCTCTTCCTCTGCCACTCTGATCGTCTGAAACTAAAAGTAGCGTTGCACGGCATCGATAGCGGCTGATACGCTAAGGTTGTCGGTGCGGTACTTTTTGAACTCTCGGCTGCTATTTTATCGTGCCAGCATTAGCTGCTAGAGAAGCGACAACAGTGCCGTCGTTAGTGCCGGCATCAGCGTCGTCCTTGCCTTCTGGGCATCGATGGCTGCACATTGACACGCGATTCGTTGTATTCATCGCGTAGTTACTATGATTTCGTTATAGAACGGAAAGCAGCGCACAGAATACACAGAAATTGACCCGATTTGGTCAGAGAGGGCAAGCACTCTGCCAAGTGTCAGCTCACTCAACTGCCGATTGTGACTCAACTTCCGAGCGAGAAGGAAGTACTACAGCATCAAGGGTCTAAATTGATTCACTCAGATCCCTTTGGTGCTACTCGTGACCTGAATGTTGTGGGCACTATTGCGCTATTCATGTACGCGCTATTTTAATCGTATCGATATGATTTCTGACTTGCTGTCTCGCACTCTGCTTGCGACTTTTATAAAGGCTCGCTTTAAAGGAAACTGCCGTATGTTGCTCGTTACCGTGTAATCAGAAAGGACACTCCCTGACGAGGTGTGGGACCTATTTAGCACGAGCAAATTCATGCTTGCGCGGTTGACCATAATATCTGACCTCTGCGCCTATTTGTATGCATAAATTGGTATAAAAAACTGAAATGTTTTGCATTGAGCTCCATACGAGAAATACTATATGGCTGCAAAACCGCACATATATGTATGTGTGCCTAAGATAATAACGGAAAATCAATTAGACTTGTATCTATCAAAGGATTCGAAACTGTGCCTTTGAAATCGAGAAAAAATAGTGTTTCCCTGTCGTTGTTACACCGCGGATCATGGAGGTTCAGTAAAGTGTTGGCTAGATTATATTTCAGGTGTTGTTGTTGATTCTAACTAAATCTATTATTATTATTATTATTAATTATTTTTAAGTGTATTTTTGCGTCACCATTTAGCATCGCTGTCGATCCACTCATTATACATATCCTTTTCTTTTTTTTTTATATATACTTTATTAACAAATTTCAAGTACATGACCTTATCATAGGGTTGTACAGCTCCTGTGGGCATTAGAACAGATAATCCCATAATGGTTTCAAGTCCCAAGGCTGCTGGCTACGCTAGCTAGCCCAGCATAACTTGAATAAATTCACTTGAATTTCGTACAGGCAATACGTATTCTCGAGAAGTGTGGTGAAAGTTATCGCCTCCAAGAAGAACGAGTTCGGGCGTATCGGGAATTAGCGGCATTCGCGGACGATTGCGCCCGTGGCCTTGCTGAATATTTCCACTCATCGGCGTACCTTGAAGACAACAACTACCTGGCTCGGGAGGGTAACATCCGAAGCGGTGCATCAGAACTGGAGGAGGCTGACATCCGACATCATAAGGTACGAAAACATTAGAGCGCACGCCAGCTTGCTCAAAGCAGAAAACAACAGCAACAGCAATTAAGTGCTAATGAAGTATCAACGAATGCGGTCACCATCGATACTGGTGTTAAATCCGATGACGGTGACGGCAAATACAAAGCCTAAAGCGGTAGCGAGAAACACAACGGCATCAGTCACCGTTCATACAGTAACGCCAGTCTGGTATGTTGCGTGCAAATGATTTCGGAGAACTGTAACTGCACGAAATGGAATAGCTAATAGTGTTACTCATTGTTTAGATTGTGAAGTAATCTAGATGATAGTTTAATGTATTAGAACAATTAAGTTATTTATACATGATGGATTTATTCATTCGCGGCACAGCTCAGTGCATGCGTATTGTGTTTTGTTTGGTTTTGAAAACAAGTTGAAGGATGGGGCAGATATTGTGTAGGGGTTTGTTTGATTTACAATCGAATCATTAAGGGTAGAATACCTCCCTTTAACGCTAGGAGTATACAGAAAATTAATCCGTTAAATTGGAACGGCTCGACAAGTGTATGTGCAAACTGGTCAGATCCAAAGTTAATGTACATAGATCCAAGCATGACCTAAGAAATTAGTTCAAATATTGATTTCCCTCTAAACCATTGTAAATAACTCGCTGCTATTCTTTCTTGCTTTAAAAGCCTGATCAGGGCATAGCAGAGCGCTGCGCCAGCTGATTTGCAGATCCAACATTTTTCTAATTTGAAAGCATCTTCCACGAAACGGACAGAGAATAATTCATTTTATCATCGATAATTTATTCATCGATAATAACTTTTAGTTGCTTAATTATATAACTTGGTTGAAATTGTGGTCATGCTTTTTGATTTGATGGAGCGTTTTTGCTTTGTGCCAGTTGCTGGAAATAACGGTGGTATGACACTTTGACATTCGGCAAACAGGATTTTCAACTGTTTATCTAATTTTTTTTCCTTCATGTTCCTAATTTTATCCTTGCCGATATGTCCCATCTATACAGTTGAATAGAACTCAAAAGTTTCAGCACTTCTTTTTATGCTCGCATCGTAGAGCAGCATTTGCATTCTATGTAAGCTTCTGTAGCATACTTCTCTGAAAACAGCTCTATAAGTTTGAGCAATGAAGTAAGGTAAACCAAATTCATGCAAGCTACATTTAAGCTTTACATTCGCATTGGTATAACCAAAATAAGTGTTTTATAGATAAATCGAACTACAAATTTTAACAGGTCTACGTCATGAAAAAAGTAGCTAGGAAGTATCAGAAATCCATTTGGGTTTTTGAATTTTATTGGCTTTTGCCAAATAATCCGGCTACACCCTCAGGCATTATTTTTATATAGCTATATTTTATTATTTTGTCATGACTTTGACAAAAGAAAGAGTCAAGTGTTTATGAACTCGCTTATAAACGATTTTGTAAAAACATTGCCAAACAGTGTGTCTTTCCTTTGAGCCCGTTCTAAATTCATTAAGTAACTTGTGTGTAGCGATGCAAAATAGGTTTTGCATCAGCTACAGCATAAAATTTACATTTGCAGCATAAAATTTAACAAGTTTTATCGTCAGTTTGTCAAATAAAGCAGCATTTAGTTTATTTGTCATCGTTGTTGCCATTCGCTTTTTCAGTATCTCGAGATGCAGGTAATTCTGTGCAGTAACCTTCAACCAACTTCCATTGCAAAATCAAAAAGCTCTTGCTAAGTAAAGTATATGTAAAAAGGTCTTGATAATAGTTTGTCGACTATTAATTGTTTGGCTAAACGTTCTAAGCATGTCTGGTATATACTGAACTCTAATGCACGAAACCTCTATTAAATAGTAGACGTTCATGAGACTGATTATTTATGTTCTTCTAATGCATTGCATGTATCTCAGTCTGAATTAGTGATAGAGTAGTATGGTGTACGTAGTAGCAGCTGCTGCACCGTTCTGAGAACATCGTTGCCCTTCTGTTGATTGATCTCGAATTGCATGCTTGTGTTGTTGACAATGTTACAGCTGATGCTGCGGGATATCGATCAATTGAAAGGTCAGATTCAGGACAAGAAAGATTCTTTAGCCGGACTCGCTGTCTCAGCGTTATCCAACTATCTCCAAGTGCTTCGCCTGGCACAAGACCAGAACATAAAATATCGGGTTTTCTCGCTTTGGTATTCGCATAAAGATGACTGCGACGTTTCCGGCTGTCTTCAAGGGCCAATGGAGGAACTGACATCGGAAAAAGGTGCCATACCTGTTCATGGCTTCGCCGATATGTTCTATCAGCTCGCAGCTTGCATGGGTACGTCACCAGTTAACAGATGCTATAATACAAAGGTGAAATAGAATAAAACCATGGCAAACCGATGCGTGCAACAAGAACATGTACCTAGCACACCAATAAGATCATATCGCTGAATATATTGCAATAGTAATATTGATAAGAAAATAGAATATATCTTGAATTCACTAGCCAGCTTGTAGCTTATCAGCAGCTTTAGGCTTTAGCAGATAAGAGTACTGTTTATGTGAGATTAAGCAGAGTAGGTATTTATGCGATTGCAAATGGATACTGAACAGGTGAATGCCGCAAATCACATTTGGTCTTTATGTAATACACTGTATTAGCGGTTTCTACTATATTGCAGCTGTTCCGATCAGTGGACGAAAGGACGAATTATTCCAGCGACTACTGCAGCAGTTAGTGCTCCGCCTATCACGAGCGCATCCATTCCATTGTGTACCCACCCTGCTTTTGCTAGCGAATCCACGACTTGGGCAGCAGGCGGCTCAGGGCGTTAATCTACGAACAAAACTTGAAGAACTCGAAGATCGAGGAAAAGCCGCTCAAAAGTTACTCGGTACACTTATTTTTGTTGTCTCTAAATCATGAGTTTCATTATTGTGTAGTAGCATAAACTCTATCTACTTTACTTAGTTTTTTTGATCTGGTAATTCCCGTTTAAGGTCTGACCATTTGAAAATTAGGGCTATTTATTGCACGTTTACGATAAAATAAACTCAGAAAAGTTCAAGTATAGATTACATCATTTTTTGTATTGCAAAATCAATTTTCAGATCAGTTAATGCGCGACGCCAAATTGAAGGCTTACATTACGAACCTTGAAGTGCTGGCTGCAGCCTACGCTGAATTGTCTGCGGACACCTCCGTTCAACAGGGACGAGGCACGATTAAAAGGCAGAGTCCAATCGTCTCAAAGAACCGCCATTTTGGAGATTTGCCGATTCTCACGGAGGATATCCCAATTTGTCCTGATGGAAATTACGACCATGTGGAACGGGTAAGACCCAAGTAAAAAATAAATGTACTATATACATTAACATCATCATATTATACTGCCAGCATTAATAATATTACAATTTAACAAAAAGCCGTACAAGTACTGCCATTACAAAATTGTTTCTAGGGTCCAATTTTGATTCAGTTTCAACGTTGATTCAATCGAATTTTACAAGGTACATGACAGCATTCCTTTACCACCCTATTCAAACTATTGTTATTTTGATTTGCGTTTTTTTTGCTTATCATGTGTCGCTTTAGATAAAAGATTTTATCCCTGAATACGAAATATGCGCAGGTTTGTCGAAACCAAAGAAAATGATCGTCCGCGGTAATCGTGGTACGGCGTTTATTCAGTTGCTCAAGGGAAAAGACGACCTTCGTCAAGATGCCGTTATGCAACAACTCTTCAAGGAGGTAAAGTTGTTAAATGTTGCAATATTTACAAAACGTTATATATAATTGTAAGAATTATAGGACAAACCTTTGAAAGAAAAAGCTTATAACATTAGAATTCAAATTTTCTAAAGCATAATTTTTGACGGGTAGGTATTATTATATGAAATTAAATGTTACATAGAGAATGTTTTTTGACTGACATCGTATTAGGTGTGAATGTCGACATATTTTGTTTTTTCGAACGTGTAAAAACATCACTAACTTAACATAAAATTATAAGTAGACACATAAGTAGACACATAAATATTCGAGTAACTGTTACTCACAAGAACTATATATCTCGCCGACGGATTCCAACCAAAACAGCGTGCGTTACTTACGACGAGGTGGTATCTTACGTGTGCTCATTTAGGTATCGCGTTTGCGCTCAGATGACGGTCAGTTCCGGGTGCGTGTTCGAACCTACAAGGTGGTACCGCTATCTCGCTATGTCGGGGTCATTGAATGGGTGCGCAATACCACGCCGTTGGCCGGCGTCCTTGTCGGTAGAAAAGACACGCTTCACGAAAAATACAATCCAGCCGGAAGCTTGCATCCGCGCCGCGCTCATGCCGCTATGCAGGATTTGGCTAAGGCGCCTACAAGCGAAGAGAAAAAGGCACGCTATCTCGAGTTATGTGCGCAATTTCCGCCAGCGTTTCGATTCTTCTTTCTTGAACGATTTCGTGACCCGGTCGCGTGGCTGGAGCGTCAACGAGCTTATGTAAACAGTCTAGCGATTACGTCCATGGTTGGCTACATAATTGGGCTCGGGGACCGTCACACCAATAACATTCTTATTGACTGTGATACTAGTGAAGTGGTCCATATTGATTTGGGTATCATATTCGAACAAGGCAAACTATTGTACACACCGGAATTGGTGCCCTTCCGTCTAACGCGAGACATGGTCGACGGTTGCGGAATATTTGGCGTCGAAGGCCAGTTCCGAGTGACATGTGAGCGTACGCTTGAGATCTTGCGTAAGAACTCCCAGTTGTTGATTGCTATAGTCGAGGTTATTCTCTTGCACGATCCCCTGGCTTTATTTTCAGGAAAGGCCAAAGCCGCAGCCGGACGTAATAAAGATAACCCACTCAAAGAGGCGCAGAAAAATTTTACGAACGGTAAAGAACTATTTCTTTGTACTTACAAGGTACGCGCACTTGCATGGCGCGAAGTTATTGTCTACACTATACACGAGTAGAGATTTAACTCAACTATAACCTATTCGCCATACCAAATCTTCGTAATTTCGTGGTTGTTGTTAAGCAAGGTTAAAAAAAAATGAGACACGAAACTTTGTGATTTAGCGACTACCGGTTTTTTTTCGTTCATGGTATTATCTATCGCGGTGATTCGTATGGTTACAGATCAGTTTCGTGACCGGGTCCTCCAGCGACTACTGGATAAACTCAAGGGCATCGATGATGTTCACCCGTTAAGTGTGCAGGGCCAAGTAAACGTTACTATCCAACAGGCGGTAGATCCTCAACGACTCGCGCAAATCTTCTACGGTTGGAGGCCGTACCTTTAGAGGCAAGCCGCGACAGAGACGAAAAAGTATCCTGTGATGGTGTTAAAAAAGGCTGAATAAAAGACTGTTTATCGGCAGCGATTCGTTAACAAGTTTAATTGCTCACTTCGTCAAAATTAGGCGTCAAGCGTTGATAATAGTATAAATGTGTGCGGGATAATCTGGGAGGGAAGATAAAAGTGCACAGAGAGGATGTCATATGGAGTTTTATGAGAAAATTTCGAAGGGCATTTTCTTTCTATATTAACATGGTGTTTTTACAAATCAGTCATTATATATTGTATTATGCAATGAGAGGATGCCTAAGGTAAAAAATTCACTGTTGCTTTATGTATCGATGGGTGGTAATGGCACATGCGAGCGTTTTGGACAGTGCAAACATAAGGGAATGTACGTTATGCAATATTCCCTATTCTAACAAAAATAGCAATGTGGTAACATTATGTCTGTTATATTTCGTGAGCGCAATCTAGCTGGTTTTTAACTGGGCAGAAAAGAACAAGCTCTTTAGGGTTGCAAACAAAGCCAATGATTCTGTACCACTTTTTATGAACAATAGACGAATTGCAGATTTAAGTGCTGTCCAAGAATGTAGCTTTCATGGACGAAACAATACTCTGCTCGTACTCGGATTATAATTAAAGTCCTAACAACCGCGCCTGATTAAATTTTTACAATTCTAATAATTTCAATGCAGTTTAATGAACTTCCAGAGTAATTTACGGATTTTGTTTGTAGGTCAAAGAGTTTCATTACGGATTATAGCAAATCAGTGATAAAAGTACGGTCGTGAAGGTCGAAAAAAGTGAATTTCCTATTAGGCAGGCTTATTGCGTATTTACTCAGCGAAGACTAATTTTATAAAATATTACACGTCGAGCGGCATACAGACCAGATTTGTAGTCTGATTCTGGTTACAATAGCTTTTACCTGTGTTCATAACTAAAAAATTACCTTGCTGAAAGATAGTACTAAAAATCCAAAGAGCTCATTGCTTACCAAAAGAAGAGGGAATAACAGGCAAACAGTAAAAGCGATGTATAGCCTCTACTAAAACAGTTATTTTTATCAAAGTATTTTAAAACGCTGGCATTTGATCGCTAGGCAAAATTATATAGGAATTCATATTTTGTGCGCACGTATAAAAAGTATCATGCAAGTGTTTATATTGCTTATATGTTAAGACAATACATGTATGTTGTTTTTATCATGTTTGTTGTAAATGGATGTCACGGATGGAAGTACAGAAAATCAGATCACCTCAAAGAAAGAAAAAGATCAGAATTATAATTATTGTAAAAGTTTTATCAGCGACCTTGAGACTGTGCGAACATGAAACTAAGTTTCTTATAAGGTAGAAAGAATAAAAAAAACTTTCTTCTTACGCTAAATATAACTCGTTATTCATTCCTTATTATTGGTCAATAACTGACCTCCACGTATGTATTACAGGTAATCTGTTGTAATACTAAGCTAACGAAAAACATGTGTATTTCTATTAAATTAAATAAGTAAACCAAGTGTAATTAAAGTTCACTTTATTGACTGCTTCACTTTATGTACAATGCAGGTTGTATGATCGTGCTAACAATGCATTACACCTGAATGAAACTCTGGTTGGTTTACACGGCTGTTGATACGCGGTCTTGCAAGTACTTCCCATACTCTTACTATGTATAATCTTCTTCTCACTATTACTACTCTTGCTGGCAAAAATATGGTTAGGTAGGTAGTTTTATGGTGTTAATCACAAAAGATGGCTTTCACACTCGAATCAAATAAATTTGCAAATTACATATGCACACAACTTTGTATGCTGTGACAGAGATCTGTTAGGTTCTATCTGTGCTGTTTTTGCCTATATATCACATTCAAACGCTCACGGGATGCTCGACTCTGTTTTGTTTTTATTATCTTTTCCATTTACATTCTACGGTTACTAATAGCTCGTGCCTCACTTACGCGTCCTTACTATTGTCTAATATAATACGACTTAAGGTCAACGTCAAGCTTTCATCACTCTTAGTGCAAACCATTGCTAGCATGATCATTCAGCCTGCAGCAACTAGAACTCACTTCATTTCGCGTTCTTATAATCACTAGAATTATAAATTTATAATAATGAATTATAATAATAATAGAATGTAACCAGCGTTGCCGCATAACGAGGACGCTATTATCAAGAAGCTTGTTTCTTGTCCTCGATAGCGTGTTAAACCATTGTTGTTCTTGTTGTTGATATTTTCTAAGGTAACATTTAGCCGTAATACTACTGCTAGCAGTAGTACTACAATCTTTATCGACCACCGCCAAGGTGATATCAGAGATTGGTGCTTATAGTTGTTATCTCTTGCATCTATTTTTCATTTTGTCACTGTTTGTCAGTCAACTTTTCGTTTGGTCATACCGTCCCTGTTCCATTACAAGCAGAAGTAAATATCTCTCGCGTCCCTGTCTAGCGATCGATTTGTCTAGTCGACCTTGACGACGGAATAGATCTTGCGCACAAACCAGAAACAGGCGAAGAAACCGACCGTTCCGGTGAGTAAAAAGAACAATAGGACCATAATTGACGTGTAGCCGAAATAGAGGAACGTCGATGCTGCACCCGAGATCGAAATTCGCGTAAAGTAGTGAATGCAATAAACGAAGAGGTAGAGTGCGGTAGAGCCTGAAGTCAGATAGGCTCGCCACCACCAGTGATAGTCTTCGGCGCAAAGGTGAAAGTAACAAAGCAGTATCGTCGTCTCGGAGCACGTGATAACCAGAATAACGAATACGAGGAATAAAAAGCCGAACATGTAATATGTCTGTGATGACCAGATTGAGTTTAGGATAAAGAACAACTGAATGAAGATACAGCCGAAGGGTAGGATGCCACCCATTAGGATGCCCGGCACGGCCTGCGTGTACAGCGTTTGGGTAGGAATCTGTCGCGGGATCTGGTTGGTTCGAACGGGATTTTCGAGGGTTCGCTTCTTGAAGCCGAAGTATGAACCGATGAATGTTAGCGGCAGCGAAATGCCGAACCACAGCGACAATAGGGCGATCAACGTCGTGAAAGGGACAGCGGCCGATGATTCTTTGGCCCACAGTACGAGGTTGAGCACAAAGAAGATGCAGAAGACTACGCCTGGACAAAGTAAAGACGTCAGCAAGACATTTGATTTCCACTTGATGCCACCGAACGATTTGTAAAGGCGCGCTGACACGTAGCCGGCAGGCGTGCCAAGACACACGTAGAGAATCATCGCACATGTCATCAGTGCACCACGGTTAGCGGGCGACAAAAAACCCAGGCAGGCGAACAGCAAAGTAATTAACGTCATAATAAAAATCTGTACACCCGACCCAGCGAGCACGGCCAACAGCATGCCTTTTTGCGGTGGGCGGAAAACATCGCCATGGACGAGTTTCCAGCCAAACTCTTCATGTGCGTCCTCTCCTAGCGGATCAAGCTGATTATAACGAGCGATGTCCTTGTGAAGGGTCCGCAACAGTATCATGGCCACCATGCCAGTTAGAAAAAGGACGATGACTAATGAGTTGAGAATTGAGAACCATTGAATATTTGTCTGCGGCATTGATTCCAAGATGTAATCCCATCGCGATGCCCAACGTTGGTCCGTGTGTTGGAACGTAACGTCGTACGTATACGAAATCTTGAAAGAATCCTCAAGGTCGTTGTTGTTCATAGGGATTGTCATTGGCTCTTTGGACTCACACGATAGCTTCCCGGTCGTTGGATCTGCCTTATGTTTGATCGAATCCGGTGCTACCTTCACAGAGATGATACGTCCACCTTTGTCAATGAAGGACGAACCCCAGGTGTCTGGGTCCGATCGATGGTACCTACGTCAACAGCGCAAAGCCCATAACAAGTAATACAAGTCAGTGTAAAAGTTTTGTGATAGTCCACACGACAACAAAATGTAGGAGATTAAAATTTGTTACGTATAATAAACAATGCCTAATTATAAATCCAAAGGCTCTTGTGAACTTTGTGGTGAACGCCCTGGCTTCAATTGTAATCTGAGAGAACAAATAAATATCAAAGAAGTTGCTTATCAAAGAAATTGTATGGATATTATTATTACGACGACTTACGTGATCGTAAGATGGACGTGATTGAAGAGATAGAACGTATTGGGTTTTGTATACGCAGGGTAGATATTGCAAAGTCCCCGAGGCTTCTGACCCTGATAGGTAAAGCATCCCATCGGGAAGCCCATTTGACAATATTGTGATACTGCATCGATTAAATAGCACCATGTCACAGGCATGTTGTCGACGATCCAATGGTGTTTGTACATTTTCATCATCCCCTTGCGAAGCAGGTCAAGGCGATGCATCGATGACGCATCGGACTTATCGTACTTTTTCGTGCATACCTTCACGCATGTTCGGTTCTCGAGGAAGTTGATCTGCAACAGTACCAGGATAGATAACCTTGTTAATATCAAGGTAAACAACAGGAGAGCAGCGTCTACCACCATCCATGGCCTTTATTACACTCTACTAGGGACCATCTCTAACGAGGCTCGAGATCACACAGGATAAAGCAAGTGGCGTCCAACCTCTGATATATTTATAATATATGGTGTTATAAAATGTTGTAATGCAGATTTTGTGTGTGGTTTTCATTCGCTGGTTAAGGTACTTGTAACCAAACTCAAATTGGATCGCCAAGTAGTGAGTACTCACAGACAGTTATATGGACGACAAATAAACAAAAATTAATTGCATTTACATTTTCACACGGAACCTGATCGCTGATCGGTCATGCACTCCGAGCTTTCTGCGCATTTGTGATCAGCATTGTGATGATTATCGCGATAAATCGCAATTTCCCTGTCCCTATATACATCCTTACTGTATCTAATTTAACACTACAACATCATTTGAGCTGAGTACCTGTTAATTATAATTCTCGATATGTATGCATCCCGAAAAAGTTGATGTCACCTTTAGAGTTGATTGGGTGTATATAACAGGCGCGTATAAACAAGCCTATTGTATTTCTTAATTCGATTATTAATATGTATTTTGCATAAACGGGAAGTTTGTGAAGTAGCTGACCGTATCTTTACAGCTGTTCCACCTCATAGATCGTACGTTCCCTTGTATATTCTAAACATCTTCTGGATGACTTTGAAATAAGACTACATTGGTCACAAGACCAATCTAGGCGTTATGATGGATTCTTTAACATGATTACAGAGTAAACGAGAACATAACACATAAAATAATTCTGGTATTTCTGCTTATTGTTACCGAATATGGTGACGGCCGGATTCTTTCTCCAAACACCACCTGTCCGATATTTTCAGCCGGAAAGACATCATCGCCAGGAATAGAACAGAAGTCAAAGCTGAAAAACAAATGTACGCTTATAAGATGTCGTCAACATTGTATTTGACACAATCATTGTTCCACGGTTAAATTAGATAAAAAAAAAAAAAAAAAAAAAGAATTAATCAACTGAACTAGTTGGTCAATATAAGGTTTTTAGACCATTTCCTTGATCAGTAGCGCTAAAACATGCCACTAGCTTTCGACACCGGACGAAGGGTTCGTCCATTTCTACAGTTTATGCCTGTTAATATGCATGAACTCATTTGCGTCAAACATATTGCATCAGAATTATTAGCTCTTTAGTACAGCAGTTCAACCTCACAGGTTTGCTGAAATCCTCACTCGATAAAAATAAAACACAACCTCATCCCATAGCCAAACTAAAAATACTGTCGTAATTCTCGAAATTACTATCTTGTTAATGAAAGTTTATTGCAGCACCATGTACTTTAGAAATAGGATAACCTAGTTAAAATACAGAGGTTTCAAAATAAACCTGGCAAAGTTTCAGTTCCAGTCGTATTCAACATCACAAATATGCCTTTTTCTAACAGTAGAGTTCTGCGTCACGCCCGCTTAATAAGCAAATGGATGTGCATATTCCATAGTTACATTGAAATTCGTGTAATCATCCTATATTAATTTTTTATATAATTTTATATAGAGACCAATTACTTGAATTCACTCTGTTCACAAAGAACTTTGGCAAAGATAGATAATTTTCTAAAATATAAAGAACCTATATGGTAATGCAAAAGCATATCTTGATAAGAATCTTCTAAAAGATAAGTTGACTGAAGAGATTTCATAAAATCTGTTGCCCGTTCTCCAGACATGACCTCAATGGACTTTCTTGTGTGGATACCTTACGGATAAATCCCTAGGTTAGAAAACTAACAACACAAAGACTTGGAAAGCCGCATAGAGCAAAAATGGGTAAAATCGCCAATTGGAAGATTTGTTGAAGTTTGTGAATCAACAGCCCATCGTTATCAGTAGTGTATCGACCAAAACAGTGACAGTCTTGAACATCTGCGATAGGAAAGAAGTTTACGTTTTATGTGGCTTCTTCGGCAATTCAAGTATTAATTAAAACTAAAAAAAAATATGTATGCAAAAGTTATAGTCAATGAAGTTATTTTTTTACTCTATTTACATTTCGAACCGGTGGTTCCCTAGTCCAGATAGAATATGATCATTACAAGCAATAATATACGATACTTAGAAAAAAAACAAAAATTGTTATACGCCAATTATAAATCAGCAGAACAATCTAGAGCTTGTCACAAGCAACCTGAACGAGGATACAGAATCTTGTCAACATATTTTACCTGAAATAAAATGTATGTTTAGCAAGAAGAAGAAGCTTCTTTTTTTGCGCTGAATACGTACAATTCCTCACAACCCTATAATTACAGCCATTGATTAAATTCGTTTAAACAGAATACATGTCTTCTGGAGGCAGCCAATAGGATTATAATTTAGCTTAATCATTTCTCTACCAGCACGCGTTCAAAAATAAAAATAATTTATATTTAATAGGTCGAATAGATGGATAGAATAGATAGAATAAAAATTTTTATTACAACAACTAGGTGAAAATTTCATAAGGTCGCTCCAAAATTGCACCTTATATATATATATATAAGGTATATATATATATATATATATATATATATATATATATATATATATATAAGCTATATATATATATATACATATATATAGGTAATAACAACTTCAATTTAAATGATTCAGATAACTGTCGCACACCTTTCAGGCAATTTCCCAATTCCCTTTTTAACAATATCTTTATTTATTTATGATTAATATTTTTATTTGAAATGGACTGGTCAACATGGTTTTTCATACCTTTTTAAGATAAAAAAATTCTTCCTATAAAGGAAGTTCTGCAAGGATCCGAAGAGACAAAACTCAGAAAAAGAATGGCAGAGGCTATAAACCAGGTGAGGCAAAATATCCCATTTAATCTCGCGAAATTTCTGGCGGGTTACTAAATATGTGCAGGGCTTAGCATTGTTATCATGAAACATGAGTCCTCTTTTGTCGCTGTTCTTAGATGCTTTGCCTTAAACGTACTCAACTGAGTGAAGGGTTTGGTTGTTTATGAGAAGCTTATAGAAGAACACGCCCCTGCGATACCGCTAAATATCTGCATTAGCTTCTTTGGACGGGGTCTGACTTTAGCTCTAGTTTGAAAGGCACTACCATGCTCTGCCCTGAGCGGCGTTGTTGTAAATTATCCACTTTCTATCGCTTGTTACCGTCTTTGCAAGAACAAACTGCCGTTGTCCAAGTACCTCAGACACGGTCCATCAATCGGTGATCGACCAAGTCATGAAAATACGAATGCCTCCTCAATTGCGTAATCATTGCTTGTTAGATATATTTAAACAATCGATTTAAATGCTCTTGTACCCTCTGCAACACGGCGAAGGCCCATATGTGGGTTCTGATCTACTGCAATAAGAATTTCAGCGTCCTTTTTGTCACAGTTTTGATCGATTTTGGCGTGCCTTTTCTTCTGTATTGAAGTCATTTTCTCAGAAAGGAACGAACCGTTTTCAAAACTTCAAGGGGACCACTTTTATTATTCGCATCTTTGGAAGCTTGTACAATTTAACTGAATTGTGCTTTCAAATCGAACTTCCTGCTAAAACAAAACCGGAACACTGCGCCACAAACATAGTAAGCAATTGTTTTTCCTTCACCCAATTTTGTGTAGCACGAAAACTTCAACCGTTTCAAATCTGTAAGGAAGTTATGCCACGGCCTAATAATATTACTAGGGTTTTTCTTAATTAATTGAAAAAATCGAAAAAAATTAATTACTTCTATCTTGCATTCCTGCTCTATGACCGTGTCTAAATGAACTGTCTAGCACTACGTAGTCTGAATAGCGAGCTCCAATCCTTTTTAAAAATATCGCTTCATTAAGAGCGTCACATGTGATGTGCCATGTTATAAGTAGTTTAGGGATTCGGATCTCGAAGCATTTATGCTAACGCTGATTCGGGCGCCAAAGTATGATATAAGTGAGTTTGTATGTCTTTCTTAAGTGAATAAAAAAAAGCCTGAAAAACATTTTTAGATGGCATACGCACACATCTAAAGTAAGTCACAAGTTTTAAAAACTCTGTTCATTGTGAAATATTGATGTGCCCTTTGCGTATACAGCAAAAATAAGAAAGCACGTTTTAAAGGCAGCCGTATTGTTAAGCTATATGGGTCAACATCTAAATACTTTTATTTTCGGAAGTTACATTTCTAGTGACGGAAAAAAGATAAATTTTAGCTATCTTTGAAAAAAATTAAACCATAATATAGAACTCCTTAATTTATTTAATTTAATTAGAATAGAAATATTTATTTAGTTCACCCTAGGTTAAAGACATCGGCCCGAAAATTGACGTGAATAAAACAGGAGGGCTTTTCCGCATTGTTATTTCAGTAAAAAAAAGTTTCTGAAATCGTTTTAATTTTATGTATGCCGTCATTATTTACGGAACAAATTTCTTGTTGCGTTTCTGCGGTAAAAATTCCTGGACTTAACTCAATTTTAAAATTTAATCGCAGCAATATTTAACGATACTTTCCTGTATTTCACTATGTCCTTTTTGTGTACACGGTTGACCTCAACCCAGTTTTCAATTTACGGATAAACCCGTTAGCGCATCGCTAATGACGTAAGATTGTGTCAAATTGTATTTTAGGATAAATTGTGTACAGTATCGTTATACGATACCTATCCACGCAGTTCGCAAAAGCTATAGCTCGTTTTATGCAGAGCAGACCTCAGTAGCAGACGTTAATAAAAATAAGACGTTAGTGTTCAAACCTGAGATGAAAAGAAGTTCATAAGGCTATCGTAGTTAAAAAAGGACAAAGCCAAACAAAAAAAAACAATTGATTTACAGTATTGCAATTTATAACGCACAATTTTCCATATGCCGTTGAATATGACAATTACGGCAAAATTCAGGCATCAGCTAACGTAAGGACAGAATGATATTCGAAAAAAAAATTAATCGGGTTTTTAATATGTTCGGTATTATTATTTACCATAATCTTACTTAAAGCTTGTGGTAAACACTAAAAGGTAAAAGGCCTCTGCAACAATCAGATAATGATCACAATAGCCACAGATATCCAGGAAGTGAACTCGTGACAACTGTATCTGGGGCCAAATCGGGAAACAGTATCCAAAATAACAACATACTTTTTTCGGTCAGATATATCTGGTTACCTAAACTGTAAGTGTAGGTAACGAAACCGCAAAACTGTCAATCAGGATTGAGTTGCCAAGGAGTTGACTAGAGAGGGTATTTCCAAATGCACGTTTACAAATAGCAGTATCGCATCTGCAATATATATTCTTCTTATAGCGAGCCGGGAACGCGTCCAGCAATGCGACAATTGTAGTTTTAACAATAAATTTCCAATGTATTTGTACAAAATAAATATCATATTAGCTTGCATCACGTGCATTCGAATAAAATCAAAGACAACGTCGGCCAACCAAAGAAAATCCCGCATGCGCGAATATATTATATTACGAAAAAGACGGCGTCACGAAACCTAACTGCCTCATACTCCAGAAGACTGCTAGCTTGTTTGTATCGCAAGCACACTAGATTGCGCCACCATCTTCATCCTCGGTGTGGACGGCACCGGGTAACGGACGCACGTCGGAAACCAATTACACCAGCGGCAGTTGCTTCAGAAACCTTAGCATCCGTAAAAACAACCATGGTATCTCCTGCTAATCCTACTGCAATTTCCGTAACTGCAATCGCCTCAAACGTTAATACTACATTAGACTCAGTGACTCATGTACAATCTCTATCACAGTGTGTGCAGTCGACTTGTACTTGGCCCACCACCGAAGCTTTATTGTTTCAAGTTTTACGTCCGGTATTTCAGCCTTTAAGCATTGCTTCAGCCAGCTGCCTCTTGCCAGCACGAAGTGAAGTGTTCCTGACAAACCGTCCCAAAAGCTACGAGCTTTGGCCAGCACCAAATAGCTAAGTCTGTAATGGACGTAGTCTGTGACTAATTAACTGATTCAATGACGAAGATCATAATAAACGTGAAATCCATTTGCGAACTCGCCGGTCTGCCTGCTCTCGCTTTGTAATCTCACTGCTGTTACAGTGCAATGAACGATACGGGGAACTTTCTGCCACGTCGCAGTTGCTGCTTCTTTCGCCACCCGCGGTTGTCAAATGCTACGATAGTTTTGTAAAACGATTTTAATAGATCAAAGCTGGAAGAACTTAGCGCCCGCAGCTAACTTGTGAGACCAATAGACGTAATGTTGATCTGTAACTGAACCTTGGCGGTTGCTTTGGGTGGTATGAATTATAGTTATTTATTTGTCTGTTACTAGTAAAAGATAGCCGTTAACTACGAAAGCGATGTTTAACGTAACCAACAACCATTCTGGCAAAAGCATAGCAGTACTGCCATAACGGCAACCGTCGTGATGCCAACACTAACATCGACAACTGAATAGCAGTCTTGTATAAAACGGACGAACAACACGTACTTGTGATCAAATACAGAAACGCAGACATGTTTTGTTATGTGCTTATATGCTGTATAGTACTCACTGGTGATATTCGTACGGCAGGACTGCCTCGTCCGAATCTAGCCGGTTGACCCATAGTGCAATTTTTGACTGTAAAGAATCGAAAAACGCAAGCAAATTAAATCGTGTAAGAAATTACTTTCACGCACAGGAAAATGCTAGGTCAGTTGGATGCCGATACGTCTGGTTACGTTTCTCTACATATATATGCGTATATCGATATTTTACTAAACTTACTGCTAAAATCCAGATGAAACATGAGCGCATCTCTGAGTTAACTTTATCGATAAACTTAGGATTACGTGCGCTTTTTTAACTTTCTTCCAAAAGTTGTTTTTTTGCCCAGAATTATGTTTTACGTTAGAACCATCAAGCCTCCTTGACTGGTGGCATTTATATAGGACCATTATATATTCTGTTCGTCATAGACTTTTGATAAAAACAATAAAAACAACATAGTAATGATTAGAGGTTTCAATATATTTCAGCAGATTTACTCGCTCTAAGCAACGCATGCACGCGCACTCAGAAATTTACGTACTCGGACAGATTCCTCCGTCTACACAATTCTACACCGTAACCACTGATAGCGCCATCATTACACCTGCCGCTCAGCTAACAATTGATCCTATACGATGATCAATTATTATGATTCGCCTATCGGTTCTTCCGTTAAATCAATACAGCTCGGTTAGAACGTCCACCCGCACGAAAACATACATATTCATACCCGCCCCTTAACAAAACAGCTCAGTAGACCATAATTAGCTCAGTTTGTCTTGCTGGCTATCAAGACATCAGCTTACCTGACACTGCGGCGTAACAGCTTCTGTGGGACAGTAGTTAACGGGTGCAAGCCCTGGTAGATAGAACCCCCAGGTAGGGGTAGCGCACAACGACAGTGTTAAGCACAATGCCATTGGCAGCGGCAACGAGTACCGTGGGGTCGCCATTTCGGCTCCCCAGTTGCTGTTCGTGCGACGTCCGTCTCCAAAACAACGGCCGCGGCGGGCCCTGACCTCACTGCCGAGTCGATACTGTTTATTATACACTACCCGATAAGTGATATGTCACTTCTACCGATACCTTACACAGTAGCAGCACTATGGAGTTGACGTCAATTAGTGAATGGGAGATCAGAAATTCAAGATATTAACCAAAGCCAAGCCGAAAACGTGTAGTGCAGTTTATTTCGTTTGCTAACCAATTAATAGACATGAGCTAGTCACCTGCGACTTTGCCCTCGAACAAATTTCATCCACGGGGGAATAAAATCACCCACTAACATCCACATGCACACATCGATCGTCATAGAGAGGCGACACGCAGTCAGTTATGGACGAACCGCAGTAAGACACCTTAGTACAATCTAACCCGCAAGAACTTTCGCGAGTTGTAAATGAACCACCCAATGATCTGAAGATACGCTTGTAGTATATATATGATAACTAGAGTGAAATAACAACTACGATGGCCAAAAGAGACACAAAAAAACGATATATCCTGTTCGTTTCTCTATTAGAGACACCAAAAGAAGCGACACGGCTCTTTCGAGTTTTCGCTTCTTGACACTAGGCAGCCGCGAACCAGCAGGCAGTCACCGCATAGATTCACACGCACTTTACTGGTATCACTCCTCTACGGCGATCGCCTGCTATTATTTCATTCTATGCATTTCGTACTACTACTGGTGCAGCCGAAGCTTTTTACTTAGTGCTGACGGCGGTACTGATCAGATGTGATAGACCAATTAACAGCAGAACGGTTGTAGTGGTAGCGAAGGCAATCTCTAGATAGTAGACAGATCTGTAGAACACGTAAACAAAACGGACCTGCTTGGTAGATATGGCGAAACAGGCTCATCGTCGATGGACTTCGTGCCAGGCGCACACATAACCAGCTGGTGGCCTTTAGTAGCAATTCAAATCGAAGGGCGGGGTAAGGCAATCAAGCCAAATGTAAGTGGTATTCGATTGATAATGATTATGCACATAAAGCGATTACAGATATAAGTAACGCGAGATGATTGCATTGTGTGTGTTTATGTGTGTGTGTAACGTACGTTGTGCTTAGCCTTTCAGCAGAGTCAAGATTTGTGTTAGCCGGAAATAAAATGGGACAAAAAATTGATAAGTTGACTAAGCAACCGAATTCCTTTAGTCACACATTATTGCAAAACAAGAAATTGGAGAACAGTAATTTGTATGTTTCTAGGATTATATTTACGTTTATAAACCTCGTACTACTTGATTTTCCGTAAGTCTGCAAGAGCCCTAGGACAGACAGCTCAATACTCTGGCTAGGTCTTACTGAGGCCTTGGCATTGTACCGTGTTCACCTATTTGGAGTTTTCCAACAGAATACAATATTTTAAATCAGCCTTATATAGCCAATACCGATTCACACAATAGCCTGTATCTATCAGTTCAATGAGGCAATGCTAAGACAATCTTTCGCGGACAACGAGAGTGGTTACCCGCGCACCAAATGTCCACCAAATGTAAAGTTTTTATACACTCAGTTTCTAACGTCTGATGCAGTCACCTTTCACCGACACCGCTGCCTACATATTCAGGCCATGCACATGACACCATATGCCATATGCGATCTCATGCCGCCGCAAACCTGAGGTGCAATACGCACGTTGCTTGTACGCCGCATCTGATCAAGGTATGTTCGAGAGACCTTTACCTTACGCCACGGTCGTTGTCACCTGTTATTTTCCTCTCGAATTCAACTGTTATTATTATTGCTGTTTTGGAGCGTCGCACTGTTTATATTGCTAATTGTGTTAGAGCCAACAGCGAATTAGTCATATACCTTATATGCAGTACTTTGTAGAGTTAAATATCTCGCGAATGAAAGGTTATGGAAAACGCCATGAACGCCATGAAGAAACTGTCCATCCACCGAGCGACGCGGACGGTATGTTACGGTTGCAATAAAAATCCAAGACCTATTGTATGGACTATGGTGGCCAACACGGCCGGTGCAGGATCGTGGCGTGGTATGGGACGCAGTCAAGTGTGCATCTCTGTCACATGTTCGACGCTCAAAGACGGAGATTCGAATCGAACTCCGACCAGCTGAGACTGTCAGACAGGATGGATCGGATTGGGATTTTTGATTGATTAGTTATTCGATTGGTTTCAGTATTATTTCATTTCTTGAAACGGGTAGATACGAGCAAGATTAATTGATTCCCGTAAGAACGTTTTCCAAAGAGTAAATATAAATATATAACATAAATGTATGGCATTTTGTGTAACGATATGTCGTAAAAAGACGACGCATCATTAAGCTCTTTATGTAAGAGAATGTAAGATTGTTGATAGGTATTCTTGAATAACCATTTCTTGTTGAATATTCAAGAGGTATGTCAGGTTGGATAGGCAGAAGCCTAGATTTTTTTTAGTTTTCACTGGAAGCAAAATCAACGCGATACTTTGTTAGAAATGCATATACATTGTACATTGACACATCCCAAGATGTAATTTATACCTTTCGCTTAGGTCAAATAAAATTCTAGCTTAAATAGGTAGTTATCCCAATGCATTTTCTTTTATATTCTATGTATAGCGACTTTACCAAATATTTCAATGTTATGTACAAAATAGGTAAGATTTCTGTGCAGCATACAATCGATATTAGCATTCTATAGCGCTACTCGAAGTAATATATTGTATTTGTCCGACAATAGCATCTATAGCTTAGATGAGATAGTTTATTACATATAGATAGCTTATTCTACCACAATAGTATTGCAAATATCCTTGACAATACAGTTTCCTCTAACTTCTGACGTCCATTGTACTAACCCTTTAATAACTAATATCAAATAGCAAGCAAAGCCATGCTGTTTATGCAGCTGGAACAGGCAGCAGGCAATAGAGCGCCATTGATAAAGTTCACAAAGCTAATGTTTACGTTACAAATAGACGCTTAAAAATCTGTATCCTACTATGAATAAAATTGACGTAAAACTGTAATATTACTTGAGTTACTTGAATTTCACAGCTTTTTTTCACTAAAACAATGCCGTTTTCTATGATTTAGGCTATATTTTTGTTAACAAAATTCAGTGCCATTTGTTGTATTGTTGAATGCTGGATTTTTTTTAGCCCACTGTATCTGTTTAGATCAAGCAATTTTATGAGCCGATTTCTTAAATAAGCGATTATACTTGGTCGTACGTGGCGGGGAGTTTACTTCATATGAGTTTCACGTCGTACGATAAAACACCGTGTTACCTAAAACGTAGGGCTTCAAATCATTGGCTTGCACATTGTACGTTGCAGCAGAAGTAATATATTGTATTTGATTGTCTTTATTAAAGATAAGTGTTCCGTATGTTGCTACATGTTTTCAGCATGTAGTCCTTAAAAAAAAAAACTATGGCTATTAATCTTATTGTTTCTCAGATCGTCATATTAATTTGATTTCAGGTCGACTCGAGTTTAGGGCCCTTCGAGGTTCCTGAGATCCTCGAGGACCTTACCTCATATGTGTTGCTGCACGTTAAGTCTGAGGGGCTCTTTCGGATTGGTGGTAGCAATGAACGAGTGCGTGTCCTTCAGGAACGACTTCTTAAAGGTGAGAAGGTTCCTTCAGATCAACCCGTCCAGGATGCATGCTCCGTATTGAAACGATGGCTACGCAAGCAGAGTCTTCTCGGCAAGTGCTGTCGGCCGGAACTTCCCCCTGAGACAATGGACGACCTCAAGACAACACTTACCAACATGTCACCTCAAAACGTTTGCATCCTTCGGCATGTTTGTAAATTTCTGCAAATTGTAGCGCGGAACTCGGCTAGCAATTTGATGGACATTGATAATCTCGCCGGCATTTTGGGGGAGAGCGTATTCGTAGCCGAAGTAAAGGTACGTGAGGTGGTAACCGCTGAGGTCCTTAAGAGTCACAGCGAAGTGGCTAAGCAATCGATGAAACTACTTATCGAGAACGTGGATATGCTTGATACGTTTGTCGACAGTAATTTCCGAACGCCGGAACGAACTCGCGAACGAGATTCAAAAAAAAGCTTTTCGACAAAGATGAAATCCTACGGATCGGCACTAAAAAACCTCACAATCAAGAGGACCCGATCTTTATCTCTAGACACAAAGGCTGAGTTCATGCCACCTCAGCTGTTCGAGTGCGAAGAACGTATTCGGCTCCGTGAGCGCAGGGGGACGATAACACAGGATGCCAACGAGTTACTTGAGAGACGGCACAAGGCCATTGTCAAAAGGAAGGAACGAGGGGGTCATGGACGGCAGGCTGCACAGGTCTACTATAAAGCAGCTACTGTCGGTCACGTAGGGATTCCCTGTATCGGTAAGGAGAACACTACACCTGTACATCGGCAGCCAATCAGAGATTTCAGCCTTGACGAACCTCAGCAGCTAGAATGGAAGTCTCTACCTCGCGATGGAGTTCAAGGATCGAACGCTAGTCTTGCCTATCACCGCCGACTACCAAATAATCATAGCTAGAAATTTTAGCGTTAGGAAGAAGGTTAAATGTATCTAGCAGGAGGTAACAATGGAATAATCCACCTAATTTGTTTTTGATGACGCGATAAAAGCCGTCGGCTAGAAAAAAGGAAACGGCCTCAAGTACGTGATGGGCATTTATATGCTGGTGTTTGTATGTACGTGCAAGTTTACGAGTATACGAATTGTATAGATGCAGACAGGTGCATACAGCCTTCATAAATTGGAAGCTTACAGAAATCTTTAAAATTCAAAAATATCATCAACTAAAACACCAAAGTGCACGCGAGACCTTACGAGCCGTGATTTAGGCTTTCCGAACAGACTCGTGCTGTCAACCATGTCCTATTTTGCTTTTACATACCACAGTAAAATTATGCCGATGATTAAATCACCATTTATACGTGCGACAAAAAGCTTGCGGCAGGTCTCCTCGGTGTGTGTATGTCGCATTCACCCTAAACAAAAATAAATCTAAACGAACCGAGCGCTTCTCGGAATAATATCAATCCATGTTCTATTGGCAAAAAGGTTAGTAGCAAACAAGAGCTTTTCCGAATAATTATTTCCTATACTATGAATTCATTTAAAAAATAATCATATTTTCGGAATGCGTAAGAGTTCGTTCATTGTCTTTTTATTCATATCGTGTTTTGATCGGATAACTACTGCTAATAGAATCTCACATCAATTTGGTTTCTTTAAGAATAACCTAATAAAAATTAAACGTTTGAATTGACATTTTTCTCAAGAACACAAGGCCACCTTTCCATTTGAGGGAGCTTATGTGGCTAATGTAATAACATTTCTTGTTTTTCTTTTTCATTTCTGCCTATCGGCTGCTCTGCAAGAATATACAATTCTAAGATTATGATGTGTTCGAGTTTATCTTTAAAAAAATTAGGAACAGAAGACCCGCCCGTACTTTAGCCCGTACTGCTAAGTTTCCTAAAAAAATCTATGATGCATGAATCATAGTCAAGAAAGGTGAAACCAGCCAAATTGGTCAAATACTCTGACCCTTTTCACATTTGGTTTACTGACTCGCTGCGAATGCGTGTATATCTAAAAAAAAAAAAAAAGAGAAAATATTTTTTGCCTTTTGTGTTTTTTTTTTCAAAATAGAATTGATTCTCTCCCTAGATGGCAGCCAAGTGACGTTCGTCTCGCTAAATTTTCAGAATGTAGGCATGGAAATCGAAAGCGCCCAGTCGACTCATATTGGTAACATCCAATTGCTAAGTGATTGCGGCTACTTCACAGTGAACGCTGTAAGTCTTCTTTGATGGCCAATGTAGCAACTTCTGATTGTCTGTCGTTATGAAATATATATTGTGATTGTAAATATGTATTGAATTGTAAATAAATTCATGTCTCGTTTGATAGTGCTCTATGTTGACTTATGCTTTGGCATTATTCTTTTGATCTTGGATTGATTGTGATCTTTTTTATTGGCCATAACCTTCAAGAGGTGCCACGGACTATATCCACACGAAAAAGTACGGTTGGCTATACGCCGCTGCAGGATGGTTCGGTGTGAATGGCTAATACGCATCGTTCCGAGGAGATCGCCATCGTAATCCTGAACAAAAAGTTGCCAAAACTGGTTCAAATCACAAATAATGATAAAGAATCTGAAAAAAAAAAGGAAAAAACAAGTGAGGAAGGTTAATGCTTGCAAGAGTTGTTACGTGTTCGTTTCAGAGTTTTGCAAGCACCCCATGTAGGTTCCGCAAGACGCTTCCTAGAAGTTTTTGACGTAATGTTCAAGGGTGATTTCATAAAATAGGTGAGTCCATGAAAAAAGGACTAATAAGAGCCAGTTTGAAATCAGACGCCATAACAAAATCAGTGCATCATAGATTTATATAATTGTATCTACATTTCCCCTAGAAGAATAACTTACGTATACACTGATTTTTTAGCAGGTATACCAGTTTTAACTACAGTGGTTCAATAGCATGAACGCTATTTCAATCAGAAAGCACACTACGAAAAATCTCAATGTTTTTGCAAATACAACAGCTTGATATCAGCTCTTTCCAACCAGTTTTGTCTCACCTACAAGGTGCTAAAATGTGTCTGAACAAAAAAGTATGTTTCTAACTGAAAATTGGGCAAACTTTCAATACGTTATGAAAGCACCTATTTCATTGGTAACAACCATCGCAATCGATTTAGAATCCCCAGACACAGACAGAGTAGATCGCTTCGAACATGTTATGAAGTGCACTGTATTACCCGATGTTCCCAGCAGCGATATCGCGGAAAATAAACGCGATTATACCTGCACGATATCTGAATTATAGGGTCCACTGGATAGATCCACCCTGTAGAATTAAAATTGTGGCAATTGCCGAAAAAGTGAACCTCTGCGAGCAAGGAGCGGTACGAGAGGGAAATAATACAGCCGACGAAGCTGGGACAGATGGTTCTGAGAATGACTTTAAGAAAAAGAGATATTAATTATAGCATTTCCAGCTAATTAGATATATGACAGGTTATTTTGCTCGACGGATTGCGGTCATATGCTATGTGTAAGCTATATTTAATGGAAAAATACACACAAAAAATTATTGTATATTCTGACAGCAGAATTAGACGGTGTTCGGTTTCTTACAATCAGGAATGAACCAAAGGCTTTCCAGTGTTACCTAAAATATGCGATTTTTGATAGGGCCATCATAATTGAAGCAGTTACTTGCAGGTTGTGTATCTTACATGTTGTTTGCGACCGTCATTCAGGCTAAAGGAGTAGCGGTCATTTTTGCTGCCAGAGATCTCACCTGACTCCTGACGAAATAGCCGTTTATCAGGCCCAATAAATATTATGGCTGTGAGTGGAACACGAGAGACGAAATTTGACATAGGATTATTATTTTGCTCATTAGAAATGTAAATTGTTATATCCATGAAATTTGTAACAAGAGTTAGCATTGCTTCAGCCTTGTACGTTCTTCCAAGATGTATAAATACTTTCGAAACACCGAGCTTAAATACTTTCTTTGCTTGCTTCACTGGCACTCTTGCCTAGCCTTTACTCGGACCTCGTTTTATTCATCTATATATTGAAGCAATTCAATATCTTTCTTTTTTCCGCCATTTATCAGTACCCTTCAGGTATTCTCACGTATGATCCCTTTTTCGAGTTCTTCTTGTAGAACTGATCTTCGCCGTATCTGTGTCAGTTTAGAAGATGGTAAACGAGCGCCAGTGACACGAATGAAAATGGCCTCAGAACAATGTAGTCGACCACCAGCGCGGAACACCCAAAAAAAAAAAATATTAAAAGGCGAAATTCAGGCAGTGATAACAATTCATTTACTTTTTTACGCGAACCAGGACGGATGATGAAAGGGATCAACGAGATGATGATATATACGCAGAGAAATTTTTTGTTCACGATGTCTAGGAACCAATACGACGTAGTTTTCCTGAAAACTTATCTTAAAGGGCTCCAGAGCTGGGCGCGACGTTGACTTAGAAGATGGTACCTTTATTATTGCACAGATCAGTCGGGTAATGCGTATAAAATGTGTGTAGCGACCATAAACGTGGAATACGCCATTGGAAGTTTAAACTATAAGGGTCTGTTTCTTCCTCTTTTGAATGCCGAAAATGAAAGTTCGAGCAGAATGTCTTTAGGGCTTGATTAGTGGAAGCTATGCGCAGGAAGCGATCATGCGCATGTTTAGTGCATGCACACAGCTGCTCATCCCAGTATACGTACCACGGGTATAGCAGTCATCCGGCAGTCGAATTGATCTTTAAAAACGCAGAAGAGCGGAATTGAGAGCACAGGTGAAAACAAAAGGCTAAAAGCCAAGAATACCAAAAAGCGACAACAAATAACATGGCGACGCCATAGCTTATCGTAGTTAACTTAGTAGCTTGTTACTTCCGGTGTGTCTGGATGTTAAACTCCTTTTTGTTGCATAATTGATTCGAAATTTACGAAAGGTCGTCGCCAAGTGTTCTGTGGACACGTTGGTTATACGGGGAACGAATCCCGCTGATTGTAGAAACGAAGCGGAACCGGTTTTAATCAACGTGCTGTTTATTCACAATGTTCAACCCTGCACCTGGACCGCCACATATTCTCGGGATCCCGTCTATTAACGATGGAAACAGACAAGGTAAAACATTGGTAACACTTAGCACCATCGGGTTTTTCTCGTGTAGCCTAGGCTATACTAAAATGCTTACTGATTCAGCATTTCCAATGCATACTACATATAGTTCAAATCTCAATAATGCTGTACAAAAAGCACAGCTTAAGGTAGTCTCCATCCTCGTTTAGCTATACATATAGCCAAAAAACGTGCTAACACAAATTATGTTTGGTAGTCTTTATTTCTGTGGGTAACTGTTGCGAGACTTGCCTGAAGAAAAACAAAAAAAAATCAATTGTATTAGGCGTCAGACGATTAATTCGTCTTTTAAAGACAGAAGTAATATGACAGTCCTCCTTCGCTTAAAGTAACCCTGTGGAAACTTCTAATCATTTACTGAAGTTACAGGATCTATTCTATCTATAGAAGGTTTACCTTGATCTAGTAAATAAGAGAGATTTATCTTATTAATATACCTGTACCAATACAAAATCTAGTAGTTTCACTTCTAATCTATTGAATCTGCGGCATTGTATTCTGCTCTAGAGGCAATACGCATCAAATCCAATCCGAGATTAGGTATTGATGCTTAATTGAAAAATAATGAAGGATTACTTGTTAGGCAAGCAGCGGAAGCATGAAACTGTACATACTCATATGTACAGTTTCATGCTTCCGTACTTAGGAGCTGAAGTTCTATGGATCTCCTTCTATTTATTATTTTTTACACCTCTTTTAGTCAATCCGCAATGCTCCTTTTGTGCAAAAGAGATCTACGAGGGTGAGCTTGAAGACGTACCCCACGAGCGGCTCAAATGGCATCGTAACACCTGTTTTCGATGCTCGTCCTGCAGTTTGCCATTGGTACGAGGCAGACCCTATATCATGTGAGTGTTTACAATCTACAGATTTTCTTAGTTACGTGTGAGCTGCTGTACCACATAAAAAACTAAAACTTTGCAAAGGTTACATTTTTTGAAATTAAGTAAATTGTTTCTAATCCTCCGCCGTGAATACAATTTAAGCATCAGAATGGTGTCCCTTTATGATTCGCTTTTATATAGTACAATGGCTGTTGAGCTCTAGTAATTTTTGTAATCACACGTGTATACTTAAATCATTCATATAAGCTTTTGATTTCTCATACGAATTTCGTAGGCTACGCATATTATCTGTTGACTTTTACCGAAAAGGCTACTTTTTTGGTATAGTTTCATTCTGTTAAGGTTGCTGTAGTTAGCCATTCATAAGTATAAAGCGTGCCTATAGCATACTTATTAAAGGACATGCATTTTTAATATATAAAATGATAAAACCGATTAAAGCGGCTATGAGCTGATTTTTGTACTATCCATTTTTTTCTATATGGCTAAAGCGTTCAAGAGGGCGCGCTCTGCATGGAGTGCTTTGCGACAACCCGAAACCAGAACGCCGACTGCAGCTGGCAAGAAAATGTCACTGTTCAATACCGGTAAGGCACCGCGATGCGTATTCAGATTAGTGTACAGACACGCTCGGATTCGCTCACAAGCTTGTCTGTACGCTTGCCGCACACAGTATGTGTACTATAATTTGTGAATATATTAAAATTGCATCTAATTGACTGCACGTTTATAAAACCTTACAGTAAGTGATTGACTTGGGACGGGTAGTACCTGCATGAGCATGTTCCGGTTTGAGCAGACGAATGCTGTCATTAAATTCAGGAACTGTCAAATTCGCTTCTAATAAGTACATTGTGCATAATAACCTTGGAATCAAAAAAGGATTTTTTTTAATTAGCTATCATTAATATTAAAGTTCCATCGACAAATCAACCTCTGCATACATTTCAGCGCGCGCAGGGTTCATTTTAACAACAATGCTATTCAAAGAGTGTATTCTCCAGAAGCCTCAATAATCGAAGAGCCTTGGCCCCAGGCCGCGAAAGCTCCGATGAATCCCGCTCTGGGAAAAGGACAACAGTGCTTTTCAACTGTGCCCGCAACAGCAACGAGAGAGGGTTCACCAGCACTACATTCGCTTGTCACTACATCACGACAAGGGCCATCTCTTGTATCTCAAAATATTGAGGATCTACCAGCCCTTGACGGAGATGTCGACGAGGGATTAAGTCTTAACGCCAGCTCCTCCTGGTTTAATGACTTGGCGAATAGTTTCCAAGTTGGCGGTAAAACTTGCCACCCAAATGGCAACAGTTCTTCTGTTAATGGAGGATCAAATAAAAAAGGTGGCGAGAGCAAAACTTTTCCGTGTTCAACGCCTCCTCCAACACCCACTGATTTGGAGAAAGCTTCTAGTACAAGCAATGTACGTTGGTTTATTTTTCGTTATTTTCTAGTAAGCATTTCAGTACAGTGTCTCTTCGATTTGAGCCTGAAAGCAAAAGGCGGTTAAGGAGAGCAAAATTTGGCTTGGAGTCTGAAACAGTTCAATGTACTCTATTGCCAACAGAGAAAAAATTTTTAATTATAAGATAAGAAGGCTTTCTTAACTCCCTCCTTTATTTCAAGGCATGTAGCAATGACTAACGTTACGATTCTAGTCTCGATTTCGTCAAGTAGTTCGATTCCGTCTGCCATCCTCATAATTGAGTACAATGATACATTTCATTCAGAAATACGTTTCTCTATAATACGATGACCCATTATATTATAATCATATGGCAATCGAGCGCAACAATACGCGACTTTTGTAACAAAAAGGGTGATATTTTATGACCTATTTGGTAGCAAGAATTGATATTTTACAGTATCATATATTAGATTATATAGGTACATGATTAATTGTCAGTGGAAAGCTGTAAAACCAACCGTTATGTGACTTAAAACTTTGAAGTTGCAGTTCGACCTTCGCATGTATCTAGGCTGACAACAGCAGATACTGGTTTTGTCTAAGACTTATTTACGAAACAACGCCGCCTCACATTCCCATTACGGGAACACCATCAGTCAGTCACAATCATCACTGTATTTAGAAGGGAGACCACGGGTTGATTATTTAGCCTATAGAGAGGTACTTGGTTCAGTTAGAGTTTCGCCATACGCGTCTTCTTTTATGCCACATAATATATCTTACTGTCTCTGTTTAACTTCTGGCTAGTCTTCCCGTAGCAAAACATTGTTATTGTACTTTGTTGTGTTTGCTCTACGTCGCCTTGACTAATCATTCGTCGTTGCTTATATTCTTGTAGGAACAATCCATGTTATCGTCCCCCAGCGTAGATCACAACGGTTCTGCAGGTCATCAAAGTCTTAAACCGATGGATGTGAGCTTTGATCGCGGCAGTAAGCAGGGGTCACCTCACGACCTTGATTCGCATCAAGAACGCCCTGTTAATGAGGAACCCAATGATCAAGATGAGGTTGTACATCCAGACGGCAACATCGAAGTGGCTCGACACTCACCGAGAACCCATCGAGTTCGAGGATTGCAGACACCGTCTCCGCCGTACAATGCTAGCCGGGACACTTCGACTGCACTAAGCACGATTTCGGATGTGCATTTCGGGAGTTCAACGCCCGAGAAAGGAGGGCGTCCTGTGACGCCGCTTCTCTCGACTTCATACAATGGAGCAATTGATTCAACTTTGGAGATTACTAGCCTCCATAAAGGTGACTTCTCGGAGATTGGTTTTGCTGTTATTCATCCAATATATCTATTTATCCTTTTAATTAGCCTTCACAAATTTTGTATCGTGTCCTGTATTTGGTCGTTATTGTACCACGCCTCGTAAACCACTACGTCCATTTTTGATTCGGTAAAACAAATAAGCTTCTTTCTGATTCGTTTGATGGGGTGAATAAACAGCAACCAGGATTTCTATGTTAACAGCCCTTGGATACATTGACATCAATAGTAAAAAAAAAACAGTTCTGACGGAATCAGCCCCGTAAAACCTTTCTTATTACTAAAACATCCTTTTATCTTTCGGCCAATATATTTTACAAATCAAGTCGCGTCACCAAAAACGGATCTTTTAGACCCTGAGCTTAGCTTCAATAGTCCGACGAACGCCGAATCATTCCAGCAAGCGCGACAGAAATTCATCGATAGTGCACACCGTAAGTTATTCTTTGTAAGAGTAGCAGTTGTCATATCATAATGAGACTAGCAACCAGACCAGTGACACCCAATATGATACTTATCGGCGTCTTAGTAACTGTCTAGCACTGCTTTCGTTGCACACATTTCCTTCCCACTGCAGAAGACTCTGGCCAGGGCAAATTCATTTGCTATCGTTGTGCAAGAAAGGTGTACGGGCTTGATTGTCTCAACATCTTGGATCGTCACTACCACCGCTCGTGTTTCAGATGCTGCAAATGCCCAGCGCGTTTAGATCAAAAGAACTATTTTGAGTAAGTTTAAGGGCAGACCCCCTACGCTAAAGGTCATTAACAAAGAGATTTTTATATGTTTACAATTTTATGTGCTGGATGGCATATGTCTATCTATTACGTCATGTATATGCACATGGTGCTACGTGCGATTCATAGTGACCTACTGAATTAACCTAATTTTTACGCGTAGTTAAATAATGGCAAGCGTGGAAGAAGCAGACAATTTTTACTAAAGACTATACAACCAATTTCAACCTTACGTAGAAATAATTTCTTTCTCTGCCGTGCAGACAATGATAGGCATATGTTCGAACCATCGACAGCGTTACTTTCGTTAAGTTCATGTGAAAGCCCCTTTGCATTTATGATATTCCTTAATGCAAGCAGGCACTTAGCAAATAACTGTAGCTCTGCAAAAAGCCCAGATTTTTCCGCGATCAAATCTACAATTCTTCACCGATTGGCTCCAGATTTTTAGCTGCGAAGCGGTTAGTTTCGGTAAACGCTATCAGATAATGTTCATATCATTTCAATCATGCATCGAATTTTCGGTGTCTCGCATGCTCTTTCCCAGCAGAATAGATGTAGAAAGGGCACCGTCTTAGTCGTATGATTTCTTTGCGCAAAGTTTGTACGAACAGACTCAATGTAAATAGAACACAGAACAGGGTGCCAACCTTAAAACAGATAGTTAAGAAGATAAGGGAAATATGCATATACTCATGTTCGAGGGACCTCAGAGGGACCGAACTAATAATAATAGTAAATCTAATAACTGCGCTCACAGCCAGTATGGTGTACACATTTCTGTAGAAAATTTGTCCTGTGTCTGTTAAAATGACCCCACACAGTACACTCAAAATAACCAGTATTTGATTTTTTCAGCCAAAACAAAGATCCCTATTGCCGGAAATGTTACCAAAAATCAGCGATGACACCAAAATACAATCCCAGCCCAGCGTATGATCGATCTGTACTACCCGACGATAACGGCAAAGACCTTCAGAACCAAACAGGGACGTCATAAAGGAAATACTGGCAGGAATGCATCTACTCTTTGCATGGCTGAAGAACATTGTTTTAGCTCTACTGCGATTTTTAAACATAGCAAAGAATAATATATTTTGTCGTATGCACTAAGACAGATCTGTATCCGTTAACACGTCGTGCCTTAGTAACGCTTCAATGTAGTATTGCTTGATTCATTTATAAGAAAAGTGTGTGGACTGTGGTTAATTTATGCGGTATTTTAACGGAGCTGCTCGACATTTCTTATCTTTCTGAAGATAATTCAGTTTCAACACTAATGATACAAAGCGACTTTTTTCTCATCATTTGACCAACCATCGCCACTTTTTAGGTTCCGAGTGAATACTTGACAATCTGTGCGTGCGGGTGTGTTTATGTTAATGAAGTCTACCGGATAAGTGCCCTGAAATAGATATTCGGAGACATCGATATATCGATATTAACATTTGTTGGAATTTTTATTGAACTAAAACGAGTCATTCTTTGGCGAAAGTGTCGTGCGCAGATGTTCTAGTCTTCTCCAGAGCGTGTATGAACATGACACAACTTGTTACATATTCCTTAATTTATAATATTAACAGTAGTATTTGTTCGATTGATATATATATATATATATCATAGGCAAGATGTTGGATGGCAATGACGCCACGTTTCATGTTTCAATATGTCTTACTTCGGCATAGATTGCCGTTTTTACTAGACGTCTGTATAGAATGGCTCTTATAGAATATTATGAGTGCAATTTTACATTTGCAGTATCAATTAGTTGTTGTTACGTGCTACAATTTTACCATTGACCTAAAGCGACAGGTAATTAGTACCACGGCAGCAATGCAACAGACGGAAGAATAAAACAGTCAGAGAGACAGACGAAAATGTGCGTTTCGAGGGGTGTTAAGGTTCCATGATGCGTGTACTTCTAACAGACTGAAAGACTGTGACTAAACAAGCTCGCCACATTTGCTATTGGTGAGAAGTCAATACCCAATCGATTACTCTGAAGTAAACAATTGTTTCCAATTGTCAAAAAGGGTTGCAATAATTCCTTCTACTTTGTACACAACCATTACCTATATAGAGCTTTTCACATAAATACATAATAATACTAATCAACCTTGCAGTACGTAGATTATGATCTAATGTAAGCCCACGTATACATGCCTGCGTTTACACATAATCGGTCAAGCAATGATTCGCGCGAATTTTCAGCGTCTTTGGAGTCGACGCCTTTACTTATAGTCGGAAGATGACACAGACAACAGCAGGACTAATAGATTCTTTTATTTCAATCTTCACATTACTACTTCAAAAATTCCCTGTCCGTGTCAGCCAGCTACCGATCTTCGAGTTCACTTTTGATCAGTAAGTAAAAATGCGATGCAAACTAGATTCTTGCTGATCGGATTTTGTTGATGTTTTGTTTGTACATTTTTAGTAGAAAAAGCAGTACACACAAAAGGGATAAAAGGACATCGAACGACTAGGACTTATCGGAGCTAGCACCTGCCATAGACGTAAAATGCTAGCGGCACTCAATGAATGGGAGACATAGTTTTTTTGCCGTTTACTTCATTCATTTTAAAAATTATATGTAAAGAATGTGTCCTGCGATTCCTATAGTTCACTCTAGCGACTGACTACACAGAATATTAGAGTTTTGCGAAGATCGGCAAGACGTAAATGCCAGTGGCAAACATTTGTGATTGTTTCGTGCTTTGTTCAGCCGATGTCGTTTAAATTCTTTTATCACTAAGTGCATCAAGTTGCGTACGGAACAGGTAAATTTCTAAAGTTATATTTTAGAAAATTGCTCTAAAAAACATTCTATATTCAGTATTAGAATCACTGCTTTTCAGGCTTTTATCATCCAACAAAGAGTAACATAAGACAAAGCTTTGTGCACCTTCGTGCCATCAAAGCAACTTTTCGTTACAGAAATATAATTAATAGAAATGTAACTTAAGCTGTCATTATCTACGATTAAGGACTCAAAAACGGAAATTGATACTGATAAACTCGGTTTGAACCTAAACTTTTTATCACTCCAGATCATAAAGCGTTTTTTTTTAACATACAAGCATTAGATTGATGAGATACGTTTGAAGTGCTCTAGAATGAGCCAAGCATAAGGCAAAATCATCGTCCAGTTTCAATTGCTGACAACCCTAACTTGTTTTATAAAAAAGAGATCTACTAGATAGGTAGTAAAAACAAGGAAACACCTTATTAATGAGCTTTATATTATAACTTTAAAATTAGCAGCAAGATAGCCATATTGCAGGCGCTTTGATTGAAATGCTTTATAAAGAAAAAAACCCAGAGAAAACGCAAAAAGTAATCTTGTTTGTACATGATTATAATACAGTTTATTGACTTCAGTGATGTTCTAATGACAACGCCTACTATACAATAGGTTTTGGTCTTCTATACTTTTTGTTGTGTTTTGCACAATTATATGAAAAATTACCACAGAGTCATTATCGATAACAGTAAAGCGTACTTTTTACATTTGGATACTGAACCATACCCTTCTAATTCACGTTCATCTATTGTTTGTTTGGTATTTTCATCTTTCTTTTCTATATTTTCTTGCGGTACATTCGGTAATTTTACGGTACTTGCCGTCATTATACGTGCTTATTTTAGCTACCATAAAGTGCGCTTGTCATACAGATATTGCATGGCAAACAGGCCGTATTTACAGTAAATATTTTATCTACTGTCCCTGTTATTTGCCACTGTCTCCGCTTATGAGGGACAAAAAAAAACACAGACTCTGTAAACCAGCCGAAGTTTTACTGCACTCGCTCTTGAATTCGTCTTCCTTTTCCACGGCAGAAAGATGATCAATTCGTCTAATAATTCTTGACCGTCTATCTGCCTTTTATCTGATCTCCAAATATTACTCTGCGTAAAACGGCATCGACTCAGCTTTGCTAAGTCCAACCCAATGATGCAAATATCTGAGTGAAATACATAAATCATCCATTGATATTTCGTTAATCTTCAACCTCCTATAAAATATCGATGCAGTAATTCACTAATACCTAGCACGCGTGTTGCCTAAATATACAGTAAATATAAAACAAAAAGCCCATGAAATGCCAAAGATAATCGTCTTTTGAGAGTTGTTACGGTTAGCCTTCTCAAAGCCTACAGAATAATATTTAATTCTGAGGAAAATCTTCACGACTGTTATTTATTGTGCCCGTTGTAAGTGTTTTTCTGCAATACCCCCCGCCCCCTTTACACGGGTTTTCTTGTCTTGCTTTGTTGTCATCAATGTTTTTCTATAACCTATATACCTACGCGTATATCCTCTGAAAGGATGGCCGGTATAACCAATTGGTGTTCCTCTTAATTTTGCCACAACATCGCTGTTTGTTTGTATTTAGTTTAGTGTCCTGCTCTGTTTTTATTTTCTCAATTATTTATTCTTCTAGCTAACTACTTATATACTGCTACTTCTATATTTACTTTTATACTTGACGCATGCGCATGTGGGAGCGTCCCGCACGAACAAAAACACTGCCCATAATCGTCTTCGTAGAAGCATATTGAGAGCGCGTTTAGCGTATCAACCGCTCATTCCGTCAATACATGCTTCCATCTGACTTTCGCAACCTGCATCGCTGCAGCATTAGCTAATTGATAATCAACTTGAATTGAATATCGTTGATAATTCAGCTAGCCAGAATTGTGATTATTTTCATTATTGTTGTTACTACCATCATCGGTGAGTTAATGCAACAGCCTAGTCATTGCCCTGTTAACCTTAGCAAAAGTTTTATTTTTTATTTTGATAAACCACACACTAGTTCATCTTTAGGCTCAATTCTTCATATGCATATTTGGAAACATTCCCTCACTGCATTCACTCAAATACTCCTGTCTAATTAAAGCAGGCAACCTTTTCTCTTGAATAATGTCAACCACCATATGCCCTATTCGCAGGACTCTGTATTTTCTACGTTTTTGTCATACTACATTAATCATTACTGTATTTGTTGAAGCTAAATTTTAGACAGAACAAGCATGGTGTACAAGTTTTGACCATCATACGTAATAATCATTATAAACTAATAATATGTCTGTATGTCAGTGTGCCTATTAAACTGAAATAGCCCAACTTATTAGCCAAAGCAAGGAAAATTGCGATAACGAAGAATAATCTAGAGGAGTGATAAAAGTAAGGCTCTTCCAATAATAAATAATAGAGAACGAGTAATGGCTAAAGGTGTGTGACTGCTCTCCCTCCGCTTACGCCATGCGTCTCAATTCAATTCATAGCTTAAATCAACTTTGTCTCTTAAGCCTTCAGTCCAAAATGAACGATAGAAAGCTGCTAGACGATTCAACTGGATCAAAAGAGAAACTGAAGGACCTTAAATAGCAGACGATTTTTACGGCGATACTTTCGGTCCAAAATATCAGTTTCAATCACAAAGTTGTTGATGATAAATAGATCAAACGATTTGTTTGCTTTTCTGGTGTATATTCTTCTTCTAGCGAAGTTTACCTCGCCGTTTCATGCTTGCAGTACATTGAGGACAAAACCATTTGCCTTTCGGTGGTTGACTGATATTGACGCATGGATAGTGAAACCACTCGAAAGGACAGCCCTCGTTGTCGCAGGCGACCATGTCGCCGTAGGACACCTGATTACAAATGCAGTAACGAGGTTCATTGGGGTCATATTGCCATTCGGCGTTTGCCTGAGCAGGCGTGTCCGCAGCGACGGGGTCTTCAGTGGCGGCCACCGTCGACGATCCAAAGCTGTTCATGTGCGTACTCGTATCGCTTGTGGAGTCGAGTAGATGATGTGCTGCCGAATTTGCTGAACTCGTCTGATTTGCCGAGGGCCGCGCCCTATAACACAGAAGAAATAATGGGTTACGCAAGGTTGAAAGTCGTGAATACTGGTATGATTTGATTTCTCAAATACTGAAATAATTTCTGGTCTGCATTATACGATTTACTTTCTATTTTGTAAGAAAAATACTAGTCGCGTTTGTTTTCTACTAAATAAAAAAAGATATGCACATCATGCATAAAGCCTTAAGGAAAACGTTGACCTTTCCTCACTACTAAAGACTTACGTGACTTCTATGCTATAATCCTTTCGAATCTCAAAACAGACCATCATTCCAGCCAATACAAAAATCACGTGCTGTGGCATCCGCTAATAGTCATAGAATTTGACCTTTCCGATATAGCCGCACTTTAAAAGCTTCTGAAAATATGCAAACTAACTCACTTTTTATTACTTTTCCTTGATGTAGGAGTGGCTAGAGGTGCTTCGAGTAACGCTGAAATTGATGAGCTGAGTGATACACCAGAACTGGTCCCACTCGCGGGCGTATTAGGTGTTTGTATTGAATGACTACCGCTTCCTGTCCCCGATACGGCAACGGCTCCTGCAGCAGCAGGTGCTCCCCCAGCCGTTGGTGTGAGCGACGCGATATCCCGGCTACCCAACGTGAATTCACGTGCGGCAAGGTTCTGTACCGCGATTGCCTCATAACTTGCCTTGAGCGACGCGGATCGTCGGCCCTGTTGCATCTGCTGCGTTGCAGCGATCGCCTGCGATGCAGCCGCAGCAATCGCTTGAGATCCGAGACCCAAGGGCCCCGAAGATACAAGGACGTCTGCCGACCGGGTTGAGTCCGCCGACGAGGCTCGACTTAATGGAGACGCAACCCGTGCCGGAGGTGCTAATGCATTAGGTGTCACTGCAAACACGAAAAATAAATTGCAGTAATTGCACCAACTTAAACTTCACAGATCGTGCACAAAATCACGTTTTTGTTTCTCTCCTGTACATATCCGGTATACCCAGGCAATGATACGTACCAGGATTCGTTCTAATTAGTGGTTCCGGTGCGTGCATCTTATCTATGTGCTGTTTTTTGTTCTCTGGAGGTCCGGATCCGCTGCTGTGTTGTGAGGCACCACTGTGTGATACTGAGCCATAAGTCGACGCCGATGCCCGCCGCTTCTCACCGTGACGTGACGGTTGTGGTGTCACGGCTGGAGGTTGTGTTGTTGTTGTCGGCGTCGTGTTATCCAATTCTAAAGAGCCTGTTCGTGTGAAAAGGGACAAAATCAGCCGAAATTGTATTGTACTTTTTATTATTATTTATTACTTTTATCAGGTTCATCTCTACTACTATTAAGCGTTCATGGAAGTGAAGTAACTGCGCACACGTCATTGGATTTAGTATAAATGCTTGAGCCTTAAATGACAATTTTATGATGACTCGAGATTAACATCATTTTATAGAAAGACAACTCACTATCCGCGAATCCAGTTCACACGTATAAGAACGAAAGCTATGTGGACGATATAAGTATAACCCGTATATTCTCAAGCATTACTCGCACTGCTTTTGCTTAATCTCTGTCACTAAATGCTTTGTTGTGATCCAAATTATTAATTACCCATAACTGTTAACCTTTGTTCCGATTGCTTCAAAAAAACCTTGTCTTTTCGAATATTTAAGACCTCAGTTTTGAAATATTTTCTGTTTAGTACCTTAAGAATAACCTTTATATACCCCCTTTTCTAGATAATTAAGCCCCTATAATTACCTAAATTCATTATCCCAATTTCTCCCTGGTTTACCAACTCCTGCACCAAAATTAATTATTAGATCCACCGAACTCTTATAGAGGCGTGTAGCAATTTTGCTGTAGCGACCATTCGCTGTAGACCACATCTGTTGATAAAGTAAATTTCGTATAGGCTTCACCATATATTTTAAGTAACTACAACATAGATAAATACTAGTACTTACGTTTCTCAAGGATCTCTGTAATGCCTGCATTATCGGCTTCGAGTTCAATCTTAAACTTCTGCAGTTCTTGATCTAATTTTCGCAGATAGCGTTCAACAAGATCATATATTTGATTAGCTATCTGTACCTTTTCCTCAGCATCTAATATTACGCGCTGATAGTCTTCACAGATTCTCCGACATTCCTCATCCTGTTGTTCAGTGGATACACGTTTTGCATTCGCAAAAAACGCCTTCACGCGTTCATCAAGTGTGTCCACAGCGTCTGTAGGGATAGTAAGGCAAACGCAAATTTTATGAAACAGAGCGCATCCCAGGATCAAATCCAAGGCGATACAAATGGCAATGTGAGAACACGTTAAGCAACTTAAGGCGATGATGAACATCTTACTTTTAGTGCTTTTGTACATCTATATTGTAGATGTTATATTAATTTTATTATATAACCGTTATATTAATAACGAAAACATGTTTTTAAGTTTTCCGTTTGGTACTGATATTAAGGATAGGTTCAGACTTCAAACACGTCTTATTTCTAAAATCATAATTACTTACACTACTTCTCAAATAGTATAAATAAGTAATAAGTAAACAATTTACTTTGTACTTGAAGGTCCATTTCGCGCATATCCGTGAATCTGTCGCGCAGCTCCTGAGGAAGGTGCTCAATCACTGAAAATCGAATAATCTTGAAAAATAGACTGACAAAAGTCGAATAATGTTCACGGCTAATAATAATGTTAATCATAGTTCAGGTATATGAAAAAAAAAACGAATTAATTGTGCTGAACTCTCGTGTCGTTTTTAAGCAAACTACTATAACTAGATATTTTATCTTAATTTGGGCTGCACGTAAATATGGCAATGTACGAGCATTAATTTTGTTTAAATCGAGTTACCGAAGAGATCAAGCACTAATACGTGCCAGACTGAACGGTCCAAATACTCGCCTAATACTGTCGGACTCAAACGCACTCCACTTGCTAAAAAACTGACGAAGAGGCGTAACCTTAGATAAACCCAATTCTATTTTCATTAAGCAAATACTGATAAAATCTTATGCTCATAAATCCGAAGAATCCAAGACCACTGCTGTACCTTTCATGAAACCTACAGGTTTAAAGTCACGAAGAGCACAGAATGACTCACTATCTGTGTCTACTCAGCAGAAAGAGGCTACTTCAATTCATTACTAATTTCAAACAAGGAAAATTAAAGACGATTCAAAGCTAGTGTGCAAATACTCATACAAGATGTATAAATTGCGAACCACTAAAGGTAAAACGATATTAATTTTAAGAAGTACAAGGAAGCCGCAGGTGTGGTTTCATCTAATCAGCATGTAATCAGTACAGCAAGCCAAATCACACCCAGGATTTTACTGTTTTATTCATCAGATTAATATATTAGATACTTGTTATTCCCTAAGGTAAGCGTCATCGAACACTGGTAATAACGACACAAATGAAATGTGCAGAAAGAGCTTCTATGATTCGTGGAACGACCGACAAACTAAGAAAGTAGGAGAGAGCAATGCACAAGTTTACATTTAGCGCGAAACTGTATTATATGTATGGCTGAAAACGAATACTGTTAAGCATAACACGATTTCATGATATCGTTCCTTCTTTTGCATCTTACTATAAAACGCATCCAAGAAAGTTTTTTTTGTTCATTTATTTATAGCGGCAAGCGATTATTTTCTCCCTGCCTATTCAAATTGGTCTTTGAATTTTTTTAATAAATTTAACTGCTTTCCGTTTGCTAGGGACTTACTATTTGCGCAAATTAAGGTTTAAATAATAATAACAAAAGAGGCCACCACAAGTAAAAAAATATGTATTTTGTGATATTTATAAAGATGAAATTTTAAATAAAAAATAGGGTATATCCATCGGTACGTCACCAGACAAAAAACAAGTATTAAAAAAATATCTCACGCTTCAAAACAAAAATCATAAGCATAGTACTGTGGATCAATAATTCAAGACAGAGGCGATCCTTGTAAATTCATGATGCTGGTCAGAATTCATATTTTTTTTTGGATAATTAATCAAAAAAGTCTTCAAAGCCAATGGCTGTCAACTACAGCATAGACTACATGAAATTTAAAAATGGCATTCATGGAATGGCTGAGTAAGGCTATGGCAACTCATATATATATCCCTTTGTCTCAAATTAGGCCTAAAAACCATAAATCGTTCTTTATTATTACTTTTAATTATTGTACTTTATTTTTATTGGTACGTTGATTTTCTAATTATCCTTATTAGAATCGAAAAATCCACTCTAATATGTATTCTACAATATAAAGGTAGCACAAGTTTTTATTCCGGTTATTTCGGTTTCGTGTCCAATAGGCACAAGAAATCAGCTGTTTGTCCAATAATTGTAACACCTGTATATTTACCACTTGGAACTTCAATCGACTCCACATGGTTCGACTTTTGTTATAAAATCTTACTGCTGCACTCGTAATTGATGCTGCTAACAAAATTGCCAGTATTGCTAGAACGCATTGTTTCTTGTGTATGTATTTATACTTTATGAAAACATCACTTACTCTCTAAGTAGTCCTCCAGATAGAGCATTGCGACGGCTGGTGTTGCAACAACCCCTGGTCACACGCCTTCAGTTCACAAAAAAGCTGAAAAAGTCATTCGTTTATAAGTATAGAGGCTTAGCAGTACGCAATATGTAGCCATTAATGTTTGTCTCATAAGACAAATTATTTTGATGTTTCTAAATTACATAAATTTCGTAAAATTACGTTTTTAACATGGTAGTAATAAATAAACTACTGCTAAAGTAATAACCATGCTTTGCTTTTCCCTCGTCATTGTATTCTAAATAGCTCGATTTCTGTGGTAGCCTCTTGTATTTTCCGCTCCCTCTTTATTGCCGTCATCACCACTAAATATATTAGTGCAATTACTAAATTCTATAACTCTGATTACATGTAACTGCTTTTCCGATTTATTTCATATGACTGTTCTTCTTTTCATAATCAGGTCTGCCAAATAATAACAACACTAATATCCACTGTATTTTCAGCCCGAGTTGCACTGTTATCCGCTGCACGTAAATTGTTTTGTCGATTTATTAACTGATCGATTGGCAAAACTTGCTAGCTTATATCAGCTGTTCATTCTTCCCCATCTCCAATGATTCCTGCCTCAGTTCACACTTTAGTAAGTCTTCGAATATCGACACAATCGATACTCTATTAGCTCATTCACGTTTACCAGAAGTACAGACGACAATACTCACATACAAGAACTCCGCCGCTACTCCAAAACATTGACATTGACATCAACAATAACAATAACAGAAGCCACAACGAACAGAACAATACTAAGAGCATTTGTGGTTATCGCCAGTGAAGTACCGGAAAACACCCCCTCAGAGTACGTTAACAACTCCACTACGCTACAGAAGAACCAGCACTCTTTCAAGGAAGTAAAACAGACCCTCACCAAAAATCAACCATACACAGCGGGCGAAACTCGGGGCTCGAAGCGTTCATCTGAGTTCAAGTTCACGTTCGAATCGAACCAGACCCGCGAACTACGCTTGGGGCTCTTTGTTTGTTCGTGTTCGAAATGAGCCTGAAAGATATAGACATTTGTACGGAGCGCAGTTCTTCGACCGTCTTGATCTCCTTCCTGTTTCCCTAATGTTCTCGCCTTCTTTGACGGCCTATTTGATTCACATCTTTTCACAACCCGCGGTTTTTATTCATACCACTTGCTAACTAAATGTATAGAGCCTATGATACAATGGCGCTATAATCTAGCACACAGTAGATGTCGGACTCGATACACATATAGATACGGACACAAGTGTACAAATTAGGAATGTCGAATGCCCAGACCGATCGACCGACCGGCCGGCGGCCTCCTTCCAACACAGCTGACAGCAGAGGCTTGCTTTTTGCTTGAACCCATAGAAGAACAACTGCACTTATTAAAATATATCGGATCGAGCCTTCCAACAGCAGCAGCAGCGGCGGCGACGGTGGTTTGTTTGTTTGTAACCGTTTGCTACTGCGTGGCTTCGCGGTACGTGGGGTAGAAGAGACAGAAAGCCGGTATTGGTACGGATCATCAATTCAATTCCATCATGTAATACATACCCACCGCGTGTCCTGAACGGTCCAAGAGTGAAGCGTTGAATACACGGCGGAAGCTACTTTGCAGGCGAACTGTATTACTACCGACTACCGTTAGAATGACCTTTTACTCTAACTACTAATGCGATCTACTACCAGTCATGATTGTTGAAGCCGAACGTAGACACACAAACACGTAGACACTCAGGCAATATCGGGTTAGACTTGTCCTACTAATAATAGATGTCATTACATTACTGTTTTATAGCGTGTTATGGTGGACTCCTCGAATCGAACAATCTACTGATTTTTGTTGTTGTTAAATCTTGGCGCCAAGGTCGGCAGCACAAGACAGCGACGCAAGATGGCCGCCCAGTGCCTGCTTATTTTTCTACCTCTCTGCAGGCCTACGAATCCTTCACTCGACCACTATTAGGGGGACACTGTCAGATAAGTCGTGGTGATACTGGGCTGGCAGCCGCATTGAGTGTATATATAATGAATGAACTAACAATGTCTATGGACTAGCAGTGTGTGTTATACGTAGGCAGTTGGAATTCGCATTCGAGCGCAAATTTACAGTTGGCCGTATCGTACCGAATACGCACCAAACGCGAGCCGGACGAGGCGATCAAGGACGCACATAAGCTCGGCGTTTTTTTTCTGAAGGGCCAGCAGTAGATTTGGCAGAGCGAGCGAGCTAGCCTGGACGAAACTGCACACCGCTATCTCTAGCTCCATCCAGCTCGAACGCGACACGGATAATGCAGCAACTAACAATAAACAGCGGCTACTGCTCGCTAACCAAAACCGCAGACGTCAGCAGCGGCATGTGGATGATGATTTTTGCTGTGACAAGCGTTCGCGCGTTGAGTATGACCCCCGGCTACGAAGATAGGATTCAATACAGTAGAGGCCGGCGGGTGATTCGCAGCGACAGCACGTAAAAAATACCGGCGAGGTCCGCATCAATGGTACTTGAAATGCATGAATGAATTGATATATCCGCAACAAGAAAGAGAATAGGAAAATGTTGCGCGGGAAATGTTTCGTTTAGGGGTATAAATTCGATGAGAGAAATATAAAGATGTAATATGTGGTAGGTGTAGGAAAGAAAGTCAAATTGCTAAAACAATATGTTACTCTATCGGACTTATTTGCGGGCTTCATCAAGCCCTCAAGGAAACTTCCAACCATAGAACTCCTCACCGATTTTTCACAACCTAGATTCATGAATTCAGCGTACGCTGGGAATCTGCGGCCATACAACAGGCGAGCGGTTTGATGGTCTCAGGTTTTCCTTCTGTGTGAGATATGTAGGTCCTGACTGTGGAATCGCTCTTATACAATTCGATCCCTTTGGTCGTTTTGAGTTTGTTTTCCACCCGATTGATTGATATGCACGTTACAGGGTAACATATATCGGTGTTAGTGATTTGGATATATACAGATAAAGGGGTTCGACGTAACGAGAATCGTGCCAGCGACTTTAGAAAGAGGATGGAAGCGGAAAAAGAAGTAGCTAGGGGCTCTCCGCTGCTTTTAAGAAAAGTAGTCAACAATAACAATGTATCGTCCTGCTACTACTACTGCCGCCGCCGCCGCCGCCACCACCGCCACCGCCGTCGCTGCTACTATCGTTGGAGCAATGGGAAAGGGCTGGTGGGTTTTGCGAGCGACAAACCGCGCCAATCCAGCGAATAACTAGGTTCACAGAAAAAACTGTTTCTACTCACGGGGGCTATCAGCGCTCACCGTGCGGCAAAGGGGAAGACGACGGAACAGGTATTTGGAAAGGATCACCGTGTGCTCAACGACAGCGGCAGCGTTAGCGGTAGTAGTGAACGCTCCGAACGAAGTGTATAAACACACTGGTTAGTCGGCTTCGCATTCCATCGTTCCGTGAAAGAATGAAGAACTCGGACTACCAGACAGAAGCTGTCCGAGACGAAGATCAGGCAGCCTCCAAGGTGAAGTCAGTAGCGTAAGGGCTCTGGTTACTGTTACCGCTGCTGCTGCTGACATCGAATCATCTGCTGCGTATGAACGGCAGACGAAAACGAGCGGAAACGAATAACGAATCAGTGAGGAGCAACACTCCTGAGTTTCAAATTCAGCAACAGAATTCACCGTGGCTTCACTGTGGCTGAAGAGACGAACGACGGCGTGAAGGCACGAACGTATGAACCAACCAAAAAGAATGCCCGACTCACCGTGTTGTGTTATTAGATTGAGACAGAAAACGGCGGAGAAACTAACGGGTTGACAAAAAAAAGAACGAGTTAAAGCATCTCTTTTTCTTACGAAAAGCTGCCACACATTTTATGCATAGCGTGTCGCGGGATTACGCTGCAAAAGTACTGGTAAAAGTGACAGCCTGTCGTGTCGCTGCTGTTTTATAGAAATAATGTTATGGTTAAGTAGTTTGTGAGTGAATAATGGGTTGCGAGTAAAAGGAGTCAAAGTAGTATTTTGTTGGTGTTGTCGTTCCTTTGTAATAGTTTCTGTTGAAGAATAGAATTACTCATAGCGTATCGCTAAAACGAGCTCCGACCGTGCGAGGATACGGTTGTGTTTATTGCTTGTGGAGTCTACAATGATTGGATGAATTCATGTATTGGTCTATATATGCCAGTAAGGGCTAATCCGGAGCATCGTTTAGGGCGCCCCGTATGAAAAACTAGCATGTTACCTGTGTAGTGTCAGCATTAGGAACGAAGTCTATTGTTTCGGCGGTGAAAACCCCACGGCGACCGGTACCGACGACGGAAGTTCGTACGGCGCCGGAGCAGCACCGGAAATTCACTCACCAGGTGTTCGGCTGTAATTTCGCTCGCGCCTAAAGCTCAAATAGTGGTATCGGATTCGAACATCGTTCGTAAAACACCACAAGCCGTTGTTGTCACGCTGAAGTGCATTTGTTACAAAACTACCTCATCAGGAGGATCGAATAGGCGATGGCCGACCGAACTAAAGTTTCACGATGAAGTTTCACAGTAAGTTGCTTCTTTTTTCCACACTTCATTTTTATGAATCGAAGTTTGTCACTAGATATATCAACTACCTTTGGGGAATCGGTCCCGCCGTCGATTTCAAGACGCTGAGACCAGTAAACTTTTATGTTCGGAAATATATTCGTAAGTGTTTTCCGAAAAAGTATCATATCGCATTTCCATAGTTTTGTTCCTCGCGGTTTGTATCGCAAATTGTATCGGCTTGTATTTTAAAATGGAAGATTCACTTATAAGAAGGGTATTTACAAGAAAGACAAATATCGGTATCGGCACACATGCCTCATAAATCAAAATACTATATAGTGTGCGTATACAGTTTTCGTTACGTAAATTGAATACTCCAACAGAGTATTGAAACCAGTACGTAAAGCCTGCCTATGCATCAGTCTGGGTTAAATGTTGATGCTTATTTTCAACTATTACGTATTTAAATAGGGCTATGAGATGCCATTACATGAGCAACTGGACATTATTGTATTTATGTATTTTATAAACACAAATGATTGTATGTCGCACTGTGTTACGTATTACATATTATTGGTAGTGAATGCTTGTGTGGATAAGGGTTCATTATCTAAATATCTGGTTGACGCAACGGCTTTTTTTGAAACGAAGTTTGTAGTACTTGTATATCTTATTGTTTTCGAGCCTGCTTTGAGAAAGGACGCAGTGCCTGTTACGTTGAGGTGCTTCTTTTTTTCTATGTTGGTGAGCTTCTCTCAATACTCAATCGCGGAGGTTTATGAACATATATCTCTTCAACGATTGTTTCGCCTTCCCGTCTTGGAGTTAGTCATGGGTATCGCGAAAAATCGATAAGTTACCTGCTATTTGTATGAAGATAATTTGGACTCCATCTGGATATAGAGAACTGTGACGGATGGTAATTATACATTCTTCCAACGCTATGCTGTACTGTTCTCTCATGGAGACGGAGATTAATTTTAGACTCCACTCAATAGCACATTCTGGACTCTAGCTGATATGAATTATAAACAGAAGTGCTTTCGTAGAAGTAGCAATACCCCCACAACTAGGATGACTTAATATAATCTGGAATCATAAAAACACTCGAGGATTAATAGGAAAGAATACAGTTCTTAATGTAACATTTTTTTTATTTACCTGAACAAATACGTCGCTTGGCTAATCAAATTTACAAAGGTCTAATTTTTAGGTAACCCACCATAAAGAGCTCTGATTTTTCTGTTCATTTGTTCAAAATCCGATAACAGAACTGTTATCGGAACTATTATATTATAGTCTTCTAACTCTAACTGACTTTGCAGATGATGTTTACGTATCGAGAATATTTGGATAAATAGACGAAAATGATGGCCCTGCTCTTATTGCGTACAGTTCTTTGCGTATTGGATATTAATAGTTTCTGACCGTATTGTGCATGCTACATCCCCTATCATTTAAGCCCTTTCTTTAGTATAATAATAATATAGTTTAACCGAACTGAATGTTCAATGTGCAAGTAATCTCATTTTATTTTCAAACAGCTTTCGAAATGAGGCTATACTTGCATCATAAAGGAAATTTAATAGGATTTATAAGTGGATCGACTTTATTAAGAACTGTCCTGGCATCAGTCCAGCACTGCTTTTGTGAAAAATGCTAAGCCAGTTGAGCGCTCACGATTTTATTGCAACATCTATTTAGTAGTTAGACGTTCAAAGGGAGCCAGTCGGAGCTCTACGCAGTGAAGAAAGTTCAGTTTGCGCCTAGGACTATGAAAAACAAAGATAAAAAGTATCAGAAACAATAGAAAATAAAAAGAATACTCTTAGCGTCTGTTTTTCGTTTGGTGGTGGTCGGTCACTCTGTTGTTGACACCAGCAGCTAACTACTGGCTTTGAATGCATCATAATTATGGCTGTTGTTGTTTTCAAGATATAGTAGTATTAGTGGCAGCACAAACAACAGTTCTTTTTGTCGCAATTGGCTGGAGAATGTGGGAAGTCATTTTGTAGACGTAGGACAGGAAGACAGCCAAAGACTGCTAGATGAGACGAACAACAAAGAAGCTTGATGGAAAAACAAAATCGCCTCTCTTGAACCAGTCCAAACGTGTGCACGTCATCAATTGCCAGGTACTTCCTAAACCGAACAAAAGCCCGTAGATCTCAAAAGAACATAGAACCTGTGCCGACCAATGTGGGAAGACTCGGGACTGATCATTTGCATAGACCGTGAGGCCAGTGTCGAGTGCGACATTATAGTATAGTAATATGGTAAACCAAATACCCCTTATATTTACTCATAGATCGTCCAACGTAAATTTAAACAATCTTCTACCTTCATTACAGAGGTTAGTCTGTTCACTACTTCCTTTGGCTCCCAGATGCCCAGAATGTAGCAGGAGGGTCTCCTGCTGACTTGCGGTGTGTGGCAGAGATGATCATTTATGTTCTGCCATTTTAGACGTAACGGCAAACTATAATTCGCCTTTATAGCATTAGAAAATGAAGCGGCAATGAGCAGCCTCCGGGTGATGCAAGATATGCGTGCCTCTACACGTCTCTGTGTTTCTTTAAATTCTTTGCCTTTGAACTCAATCTGATTTTGAGGTTGGGTCCGAGCAATTAATGTCGACGTTTTCGTAATATTTATTAATATTTTATTTAAAACGAACGGTTGCTGTCGGCTCACGACCAGCTCGCGTCAAGACCTCACGTTCAGTTTGGCGGCAGACGACTCGTCTACGTTTGCACCTCGTTTGCTTGGTTTCGTGCCGTAAGCAAACAAACATATCAACAATATCTTCGAAAATTTCTGTACTTCGATAGAACTTCTAGTTAGCGCCGGTCAAAAATCCTGCTTGTATCAATAGTAGCTATAAATATTAGTGAATAAGGTGCACAGATATAAGGATTGTTCTGTCCCTAATATATTACTAAAACTGTTACTAAAACTTGATATGAGTGCCTAAGCAATGCGGGCCGCTTTCAAGTTAGCTAGGTAATTGAGAGATTTAGCCCTACACGGGCATATAGCAGAAAATACACCTAAACGAAATTTGCGCCTAGTACCGCAAGCGCCGAGTAATATAAACAACACCAACCGCGGTACCCAGCAGCATGGCGGATGCTCTCGAAATGAGAGAATTAAAAAGAAACAATCGATAACGTTAACAGACTGAAAGGCTTTACCCGCACATAAATCTAATGTACACATATTAGTTTATAAGTGAAGTAAGGTTTGACTGAAGGCGATCGAATGAAAAACGGACAGACCTCGAAAAAAATTCCTTTAAGAGTGAAAATAAGCTGTATATGAGCAAAGGCTGAAGATACACTGAGTTTTCCGCGAAAGTATACTGAACTGTTTTAGAAAAATGTATTGGGTCTGTAAATATGTAGCCAAATGTTTCGGAATAAGAGGACCTTCATATATATATACAAGCAAGTAACAAATCCTCTTTGAAATATAATGCGGTTAAACAAAAATAGAGAATGCGTAGTAACCTGAACAAAGCACCTCTGGGATTTCTAGGTTCAACCATATCATATAACCATAAGTACATATCAATAGGTTGATATTTATATTTATATAATATAATAACATTTGACCGAGTCTGGTTATTCTTCTCTTAAAAAATCGACTGAATCAATAAAAGACTTCATAGGGCTGACTCATTCAGACGATAAATGCACATTTGATTTTTCGCTACTAAAAAAGGACCTTTCATACTTTATAAATCATTATAGAAATGAAACAATGCTATGATGCTTTCAAATGTTATTTATGTAAGGATAGTTGGATTAATGAGTCGTAAGCTTCAAAATACGGAATCAAAAAGCGCTGGTTTCCGCAAATAAAAATCTTCTGTGGTTAAAAGCGTAAGGAAAGAAGCCGTTGTGTGACGCTGGATAATACCTGCTATGACGACATTAATAGCATCGTGAAAAATTTGCCTTGCTCTTCATGTCTATATAAACCATTTGCCTGTTAAAGTTAATCAATTGTAAATGCATTCTTGTAATTACGACTTTTACTATAATGGTATAGTTGTCGGTGGATTAATTTTAACTGTTTACCGTTTTCAAGTCGCTGAATAAACTGTGTTTTTGGTTGATTGACTCAAAGTATGTTTTGACACGAGTCTGTTTTTATCTGGTAAATGCCAGTCAGTGATATAACAATGATCGTACTTCTTCACGGTAATTTCCCATCATGGCATTTTTACTCGATACCTTCTCATAACCTACGTTTGCCTGCCTACTTTAATTTGTAATTAGCTATTTAACAGGTACAAGTATTATCGAGATCGGTCATCTTTTGCGAGTCAAAAAGTACTTAGATAGATAAACTTTCAATAGAATCTCCAAATAGAAATATGAAAACCTTGTTTTTATCATACAGGTTACCATTAGTATTCACATTTTTTATTTCTATATGAAAAAAGTATTAGTAATTAGTTAGATGATATTCGTGTCGGTCTTATTACTAGACTCAACGATCGATATTTATTGCAGCTACGAACGACGCCGAGCTTCTTCCCATCTGCGACATCCTCTTCGTCATATCTTCACTGCTGATCTATTTCTGCGATGTGTTGTTTTCGCTGCTATTTGCGTACGCCTTGTTCCTTCAGGACCTCGTGCTCTGGCCCTGCGTTATTCTAACCTTAGTCCTTCTGTCATCCGTTCTTTGTCAAGGTTTTTCATTCAAATGGCACGTCCGCTCACGTCGGCAGTATCTTCGTGATAATCCCACGCCGCACGCTGAACCGCTTTGGCTCACCCATACTATCGTCTTTGTTCATTGTTTGCAGGTATAGTGTCTTTTTTGTTATTTTTATTTATTTACATTAAAGGATTATGTTTGTGCACAGCACAATATTGGATCTTAGTACTGACCTGTATGGATCAGAGAACTTCAAGTAGTTGGCAGCGACTGCTCGGAGATCGAGAAAATCGAAACTCATCTGCAGGACCTCTATGCAAAAGATATCCTAAGTCTACTTTGATTTATCTCGATGTTGAAGCTTTCATGGTCGTAGCACGTATTTAAATCGACCTAAGATCTCTTACGTAGAAAGCGGTAAGCTTCTCTACATTTACTATTTTTTTTTAAGTGTTTGTGCCAGGAACTTTTAAGACCTCTTGTCAGATTGTCGAGAATATCAAAAGCGTTCAGAGAAATAGATAGGGCCCTAGCTAGAAAAAAATCAACATGGGCATTTTTGCACGAAAACAGGACTATGTTATTATTAGTGGTAAGAGGCATCAGTCCTTGCAAAAACAATACTGCAGTCTCGTACATAAACGTATTTGCTTCATCCATTGAAAATTAATTGTAGTCCATACAAAACGACGGATACTGTTACGACTTTTAACCGCGTTGTTTGTTTTGTGTGGTTTGATATACTTCTGCCTTTCAGCTGGGCGTTCTATGGCGCTATTTGCGACTGTTTATTCCGGTCGAGCTGGGTTCCGTCAAGGAGCAGGTGCGAGATCTTTGCATGCTTCGTATGCTGCACGCCTTCGTGCAATCCACACCGCTGCTATTAATTCAACTGCAATTGCTCTTTTCAAAGTCGCTCGACGATATCACCGACCTGGATAGGGTCGCAGCGTCGCTTGCGCTGGTATCGGTGTGTTGGGCGCTTGCTTCGTTCGGGAAAAATGTTCGTCGCAAAAACATGGACCGGCTTGTACTGACGTGGCTCGGTATTGTCTGTCAATTTTTCTGGCGACTTGGCACCGTCAGTGCGCGAGTTACAGCGTTAAGTCTCTACGCCGCACTGTATAGTCATTGGGTCCTTCTTCTACTCCTATTACATTGGCTTACGGTATTCCTCTGGCTGTTGGCACCTAATAACCTGTTCAAAGATGAGGATACTCCGGTGCCGACGCGTCTCTATCACTGCGGTGTAGTTGCCTGTGTATACACACTCGATTACATCAACCTTCAGCAAAATGCCAGCAAGCTTAAACTGGTAGCTTTCTATGCCGTTATGCTTCTGGAGAACTTGTTGCTGGTGCTGCTTTGGTGTGTTGTGTATAAAGATAGCAAAGTGGTTTGGTTCGAATCACATGCTATTCTCGTTGTTTGGGCAGGATTCCTACTTGGAATTATGTTCATGTTACTCTATTACAAATGTTTCCATATTAACGTCCTTAAGCAGATCTACGTCGAGGGAACTTCCGAATTGCCACGATCGCATAACCAGACAGTGGCAAAGCTTAGCAAATCTACTTCTTCAGAGACTAACGGTGTTTTCAATTGCGTTCTTAATCGGGGCATCAGTCGAAAAAAAAAGAAGCCATCAACATTTGTACCCCCACCAAACGTAAGCTTTCAACCCGGTGTCAAGATGTCCCAACCTTTCTGGAAACGCTTATCCTTGTCACGAATGTCCGATTGTGATTCTGTTTCGATAAGTGCCGAACATATCAAATCAAAGCTTGAACAAAAGCATAAAAAACAGCTCCTTGAACTACAGAAAATTCAGGAAGAGCTGCGTTCGGGTCGTATTGACGCTCTGGGCATTTCAACACCGATGCCGCCTCAGTTGCGGGTTGAGCCGCCTCGCATCAAGAGAAGCCCCCTTTGGAAAGGCAAACCAATACCAGCCGATATCAATTACAACGGTTGCCACCCCGGGCTTCTAGTACATCCGCCTATCAGCAGCCCTCCACAATATGTTGCCGTTGAGCCAAGCTCAGTACAAGCTTTTGCTCTAAGCGGTAATCGGCAAGTTCGGGGTGCAGGAACCACTGTGGCGGCCCACCACCATCATTACCATCATGTGTCGCCTTACGGTGCTGCCGAGTCGATGGACGGAGATAACGATACGAGCGATACAGAGCGAATTCCTCCGGATGCGCTCTATAGAGACCAACTCCGTAGCTCTGGGCTTGCAGGCGGTGGTGGCGGTGGTTTCCGTGGAAGAACGCGGCAGAGTCGAGCCCGCCTTAAATTTTCATCGCAACATCTCACCCCGCACACACAGTTATAGCAGTTTTTGTAACGAGAAAGTGGGATCATATATTTCGATTGTACCTATTTTGCATCGCAGACTTAGTGTTGACGATCCAGATAATGTTCCTATTATTACCTCTTCTTACAAAACGCAAATCCGAGTTGAAACTGTGGCAGAGGGCAGGTCGTATTAAGGGAATCGTAACTGCAACTGTTGCATAGACATAGCCTGAATAACCATCATAGTGGATTATCGTGCGGGGATTTTATTCCTCATAGCTAGAATAACAGCAATAAATTTATCGTAACATAAATCTATCTCACAGCTTTTGGTTCACGGATCACACTCACAAAAACAGAAGTTGAATAGTTCTTTTAGTTTTTTTTTACCGTTGATGACCCATTGTACGTTATACATACGTATATACTCAACACTCGCACAACATTCATAAATGAACTAACAGGAAGAGAGTGAAGCGATAATATCAAATTCACCTTATCTCAATTGTTCAACAACTGGGATCCATTTAATATTAGCACTGAGATACACTCACTGAACCCAGTAGTCGAACAGTGCTTCGAACGTATACGAAATATATTCTACCGTACAAATTTGCAGGGTGGCGAGGATAATGTGAGCAGTGTAAAAGTTTCAATGTATCAACAATCTTTGTTTTGTTCAAGCGCGTCCTGAGAAACACATTTAGGAGCTTAAAATATGAATTAGCCTGAAATAAGAATACTTCAGTGCGACGATCTCTTCATGTCTTATTAGAGGAATAAGGAAAATGAAAAATCAAATAGGAAGTACAACATCTTACCTGTTTGAGTTCTATGAATATATGTATATACATTGTACATAAGACCTGATCTTGCAGGTAGATAGAGGAGAATAAATTGGCAAGCATTGTATGTTATAGAGCTTTATTTATTGTGTGCCAATTTAAAATTGGCACACAAAAAGCTCTATGATATAAAATTTTGCGTTTACAAATGCTTCTGCTTTGTACATATTTACGAAATAAATGTGTGTAGATTACTTGTAATAAACTTAAATTCTCTTTCGATTAAATATATTTGTGTAGTGATCCTTTGCTAATATAGCTGATTGTAACAAGTATTTAATTGTATGTAACAAAAGAAGACGATAAATGAACCATAATTATTTTACAGCATTTTATATACGCACAATCAATGCTTTCCTTAACCCCTTGAACCTCAAATACTTCACTTCTCAAGCCTCTTCTACCACAAAGACAGTTGCCCAATTATAAATCATATCTTAAGTGTTTTCGCTCGATCTAAAAATGCAGTGAAAGCGGGGCCAATGTACCAGATGCTTACTTACTATATAGGTCTAATACCTCAAGCTTTCAGGCCTAAATATTTGAATTTAAATTCATGTGTTCAAATAGAAAACAAAATTTACATTGATTTGAATATAAATAAGACATTTTAGGCTTGAGCTGTTTTTATCTTCTCAATTGTTTTTTCCGCAGATGTTGTTGTCGTTTTTACAATCCCTCAATTTCTTTCATAATTAAAATTAGACATTGCATTCCTTATTTTCAATCTATTATTGTAGACACTTGATGAAGCTAAGTCGGATTACCCATCATTGGCTATGTAATTTATAGCTATCTTAGCTGCAGTGTTATACCTCATATCATAGGTAAAGATGAAAGAATGTCTATTCAGTTCGCACGTGATTTCAGTCCTGCGTAATCCGTTTAAGTATCTAACTGCTCAGAGTTCGGTAAGCAGTACGATTTCGACTAACCTTCAGTCTCAAGGTAGAAGCCCCTTTTCACATTGAATGAACTCGACTGTATTATTTTAGCAGTAATGGAAATGGCCAGTACAGAAATATTTTTATTGGTTCGTAGTTTCTCGGCTGCCAATTAAACAACACATATTGTCTCTCAAAGTCTTATGTCGTCGCGTAAACTGATAGCGGTGGCAGTCGTCCAGCCAAATGCTTATCCATAAAAAAGTCAAAAACTTCAGAACAACAATGAAGTATTAACTCACGCATTTATTCGAAATGTCGCTTCGGATTATGTTTACAATGATGCATGGGGACGACGTGTTGTAGTTGTTACCCCTCTCAGTATGCAATTATGACACGTATATCACACATATATGACCCGTGTGTCCCCATAGCCGTATCCACACCGTCGACATGCTCCGTTAAGCAGCCAGCGATTAGCCCCACAAGAACTGTTGCAGTCGCTAAAACTGCCTCGAAATATTTTCAGCCACGATCTTCAGTTTTCAGTACTAATGCAATCACTGCGCGAACCGCTTCTAGAATTCATGCTACTGCAAAAGCTGCAATTCATCGCGCAAATACCAGTGGATTTCTAAATCCCTCTTCGCATCCAGCGCCCGCGCAAATCAGCGATGTCCCGACAAACATGAGCTTCCGGTCAACGAACTTCAAAATTAGCAATGTCCTTACAAATATTAGCGCACAGACAGATGGCTTTTGTCAAAGCAGCGACACCAGCATCAATGGTAGAAAAAGTAGAAATTGTAGTCATAAGAACTTGCAGGAAAAGATTAGTGGACCACTGCCGTCGATGAAGTTCGGCAAGTTGCAGGTATTGCAGTCTCAGGATCAGCAATCGCGACCGCCTCAAACATTGAATTCGCAGAGTTTAAAGTCGCAATTTGCCGAGTCGAGGCAGAATCTTGATAACTCCAAAACGCTACAGCTCAAGTCGTCAGCAAAATTAGAGCGGTTATCAGATAAGTGTAAAATTGACTCTAGCAATACGGACTCGAGCGAGCATCCGTCCGAAATTGATTCCCTAACAACAGGCACAGCAGGACTGTACTCCACCGGTCCGCGACAAAGTGAAGGGCGACTAACTCAGTATAACAAATTAGCCTCTGATAACAAGTACGTCAAACAAATCAGGCAACCTCCATTAAAACTGCACAAGCCAAGGACTGCGGCTTCGGGAAAGAATTCGCCAAAATGCAAAAAGAGGAACTTTTGTTGTGCCATAGGCTAACTAAACTGTTGTGAAAAGGCAATTGTAATTGATAGCGATTGTTTTGCTTTTATTGGTAATGTTCAACAAGGAAGACAAGGCGTCACTGATGCAGGAATCCAATAAGCTTTGAAGACGGATTTGAAGAGCAAGAAAACGTCCGTTCGTTAGTTGTCGCCCAAAGAGCGTGGTGATGTCTAAGGAATGAACGTTATAATCCACCCCGAGAAGCGTCGTACATGAACAACAGTGACCCTGGAAGCAGTCTTTTTATTCTCTTCAAGGTAAAACTTGTTCTTTTTCGAAAATCACCCGTGAGTAAATACCTGCAAAGCATTTTATTGACACTTCAACTGCTATCACCTCTATCACGGCTCAAAGCTGAAGGCCAAAATAGACTCAAAGCGCATTGGAAGTTTCAAAAAGTTCTGTTAAATTCGATTTTATAAACTACAACTCTTTTCATCATACGAGAGAGCATTCATCGTATTGCGCAATCATTTTAGCATTGTGTAAGAAATGTATTGTCACGTGGGAGTGTGATACTTTCAACATCCTGTGATAGTGTACAAGGTAATTTCTATTTATGAACACAGTAAGTCCGCGGAGAAGTAGGAACCTTTAAAAAGAGTGGCCAGCAAAAGGACTGAATGTGATTATTCGAGTTTAGTATTGAACATGATGATACAGATCATTATTGCTACTTCAGGACAGCCGTTTTTAACTGTTGTTTTTCTGCGCTTACGTATTTTATGAGCGTCCATTGTAGTACAATCGACGTACAACAATAATCATTGCATGTGCCAGCAGAAAAAATAATAGCATAGTTTTAAACACTTTTAAGCGCATTTTTTCTGTTTCAGAAAAACTTAAAAAAAATCTAGGTTTAGGAAAAGCGAGGTCCCTTCTAGAAGGCATACATTCAGTACGTATTTGTGTAAACTCGGGACGAACTCGGGACACCTTATAGCAGAATATCCTTGAAATAAACTCATGTGTTATATTTGACAAAATCTACTAAATTTGAATTAAAAGTATCGTGAATTGCTTGTACTTAGTTAGGGATCATTTACATCGAACCTACAAACTACGTAGCAGCCATATATTTGTAATCAGTACATATGGGACAACAGATTACAGAAATCAGTACATATGGGAAAACAGATTACAGTTCTGCCTGTTGCAGAAAAAAGCAGAAGTGCATTTTAAGGTTAAGCCTTTAATTTTGCCTTAGGTTTTTCTGGACAAAGCTCTTTGCATTGCTAGGAAGGAACTGGATTAAAGTCTTTCCAAAATATCCTCTAGAAATTCCAATTCTATTATTGATAAAGAAATACTAGATTTTTTAAAATATAAGTATGGTTTTGCTTTAAAAATATTCTTCATACCAGTCATCACTATGAAGTTCTTACTGTGTAGGTAAATTGCTTAAGAAGTACTTTTAGGCCAAGTTTTTTTTTATTATACCAGTACTTCGTTATTAGGAGAACGACTTTAAATTAGAGCCCGCTCTCGTCTAGTGAGTAAAATAGATGTTTTTTTTGGAAGCTATCTTTTTATCTGGAGAACCTGATGTTGCTTTGTGCAAGTTTTGCGGACTTCAAATCTGTTTATTGGTTTATTTCAGAAATTGCTTACGATCTTCGAAATTATCATACAAATTTAGCAACACGGCGGTCCTCGAAAACTGCGCAGATTAGAAGAACTAGAAAACATAGTTGAAAAATTATTGCCTTGCCGTTTCTAATGCTAAGTTTAAAATATTAACTACCTCATGTACAATAACAAAAGAGACCTTCAAGTTTTACGCTATCTGCGATGGTGTGGTGGTAACATGTTTGTCTACGAATCGGAACAAAGATGAAGTGGTGCAAACATAGAAACACCTTAATTCTCGAGTAGAAAATTAGATAATAGAGAAGATGATACGTGTAGTAATCCATTAATTCTTGATGCCTTCAAATCGATTGTGTCGAGCCCCCAGAAACAATGCAAAAAGATTGGTAATAAAGTAGGTTGTTTAAGAGGCAGCCGAGTGAAAGTTAGCTAGGCACCATAGTTTACAAAAGCCAAGATACAGCAAACACAGCTAAGCGAAAAGCATAAAAATCGACGGGAATTTTCTATGTGCATGATTGCTTCTTAACATATTTGTTTTGTGCAATTCTAATATTTATCTGAATATACCGCGCACAAAGCTAGACAAAGAAAAGGAAGATTGATGTTAGGAACAATGGATGATAAATCGATATTTGCGAGTTACTAGTAATAAGTTCAATAACAAAAATAATAGATTATTAACATTTATTGATACTAATAACCAATACTGGCACAGAAAAAAACACGCGTTGAAATCTTCACATCAATATCAAAAATTAACTAGCATTTATTTACTTTCTCCTTGTATGACTTCAATGACTCATTAACTTGCAAACCTTCCTTGTCGTTGCCGCTTTGCTAACGGGCAATACTCGACATTAATCACTGCAATAATATTGTCAATTTTTCTCATTTACCTCTGTAAGTCGATAATGTCCACCTGCTTTTATCTTCCCCTTTCTACTTTACTATCTTCATTTTTGTATGATTCAAATTGTAAAAATATTCCAGTACGTGAATTTTAACAGAGCACCCAATCAACATCAGAATACAACTCTACTGCATAACAGTACTGAGTAATAATAATGAGAGGCATTCATAGCATTGTAGTTATTCTTAATTATATTTATTATGTACAGACACTAACGCATTGCTTGGGTGTCAAATAAAAAAGGTTTTCACTAGTATCATTGGAATTCCATACTTAAAGACGGCAGCTACGCTAAGTGGGTAGCTTTCGCCAAATTATTTTTCGCCTTACATATCGTAACCCGGCCAGCCTTTGTTCGCCGAGAAGTTTTTTGGTGACGGCATCTACTGTCCACCCTTTACTAAACCGGAGCCGATATGACAATCCATCTATGTTCATCTACGTTCAGACGTTCAGTTCATTTCTTTTCAGGAACAGCTGGTTAAATTTGATTTATTTTTATGCTTATCCACTATGGGTTGTTGCGTTCGCATGAATGAGATTTAAAACACATTTGTAGTTGTAACATTTTTTGAAGTAACTACTATTCAGAAGCTGCACATGTCAATATAAAAAATTTCGCTTCAAGTACGTTGTCATGTTTCAGATTTGCCGTACGTAGGATCTACAATAAATTCTGCTTTTTTAATCAATCGTTTTTTGTCACGTTATCGACCCAACAATTATTCGATCGAGACTTCCTAAAATCTCTTAAATGATATACAGATATTTTACTCTTCGAATTTATGCATTCCGTGCTCGTTGATTGGCGCAATACTGCTGGAATGAGATGACCAGGGTAACTGAAAGGGAAAAGGTGGACGTCAAAACAAAAGAAAGTTCGGCATTTTGAGTTTGCAGCGAAAAGCGATTTAGGTAGACAGGCGGAACGTTAGTCAATAACCACTAGTAATCACTAACCATTCAAACACATGCACTCCTTCATGACATGATTCATAGTAAACGTGCATCAGGTCTTTTGACGCAGGTGGCAACGATCCACTTACCAACATAGAGACAAGCTGCTATCCAGCAATTTTGGGCAGCGGCTTTATATTTTCTATTGATCTCGGCCAAAAAGTCTGGTTTACTCGTAGCGTGCACCTCCAGATCCTCGGCAAACGCTACCGAGTTTGTATGCAGGAAAATACCCAGCAGTACCTGTATATTTGGTAAATAACGAAACGTTTATTATTCTACAATGGCAAATGCGATGTGATATTTACTTTCAAACCAAGAATATAAACATAAGCTAAATAAGCTGAAGGGCTAACAGGGAAGTGTAATATCAATGCGAGAACTTGCTCAGGGAAACAAAAAATTTCAAAACGATCTAACTCATCGATTGAAATATGCTCTGTTTTTAATAGTAATAAGGTCTAAATAATCTTAAAGCATAACATTTATATGCTATAATATACTGAAAAACGATTTGGTTTCGAAAGTATTTAGGTTAGGTAAATTTATATGTAAGGGCTTATGTTTAATAATTTGGTATCAAACATATGCTATTAAGCGTTGCTGTTAATTTCAACACTTCTGTCTTTTTATAAACACTAACGCTCTTCAACAAAAATGTGATGACACAAAAATACGAAATGCGGATGATTAGTTACAGTTTTGTGCGATACAGGAAAAGTATTGCAGCTAACCGTTGGCCATTGCAACAAAACAACCTGTACTAAAGGTAGGAACTTGAAAATTTTAAAATAAAAATCGCCATTTAAACTATCGGCGAATGTACCTTTATCGCGGGATTAGACACACCCATATAGAGATTTATGCGCGTGATAGCGTTCCTATACGTTTGGCCTTTTAGCGCTAAGTTAGATATCTAGAATCAATTAAAAATACTTAAGCTTTCAACAAGCATCCGTTGAATAGTTTCACTTATCTTACATAATAACACTGCCTAGATGCGTTCTGTATAAAAAAAATTGTATTATATACTACCCTTATGACCTAGAGTTACTAAAGCGCAAATGATTAGACCGACCAAATCTAGACAATAAGCGGTCCTATAAACCGCACGTTTTCGTTGCTGCCATTTCTTAATATTATTCTGTATATCTTCTTAACTCGCGTTGCTAATAATCAAAACAAAAAGTAAGATACAAAAAAAAAAACCCTTTTTCTCTTTAAATCCGCTTAAAATTTGATTTTATCGTTAAGACAAAACGACCTATTCAATTATTTAGCACTTATTCAACTTCCGGATCCCTTAAAGATTATATGTTGCACCTCTTGTCCATTATTTAATACTTTTCAAAATCACCTACTATTAAATAAAATGTTAATTATTACTCGACACAAGAAAACAGCAAGACGCGAGAGTCCATGTAAAGGCCATGACAGAACGTTGGAGGCCGAGTCATATGACCATAGTGCGACGACCGCAGCAGCGGCTGGTCTGTCGGCAGGGTCTACGCCCCACGTCCGTCACAGCTAGTGGCGAACCATTAACATTCCATTTCTACTGTCTTTATATACAGTTTCATTTGATCTACAGTAATAATGAATAGGTAGGTACAAGGATAAGCATGAAAAATAGCGCATAAACTTACCAACATAATGACACCCCAGGCGCTTAGCACTGAGCAGAAAACTGCACACTTCTTACCGCAGAGAGGCATCCTCTCAACTGGAACAGTAAATATATACTTGAGTCTATTTGTCGCGGTACACTATTTGAAGTTGGTGCTTTTTTTCAAAACTTACTCACGAGCGCACCGGAGCACCAAGTGATGATGATGATTTCGACGACTTATTTTGAATGTACAGGCACACAGATGTGCGCTCACTCGGCTTCAGCAGCGTACAGCCAGTTTTATTCTTGATCGACGGATCTGTTGTGGCCGTAAGCAGCTACTGCCTGCGTGACAGAGACGAATAGCTTTCCTCAAACCCGCTCACTAGTGAATCTATCGATGGACGATGGCCAACAAGCAAGCGCGAGCGAGCTACATTTAGGTATTGCAATACTGCTGACTAGATTTGGTTGTGGTCGCTGTAGGTCCTATTACAAAGTAGACTTTCCTCTTCTTTGTTGCAGGTAAACCAGCTACTGCCAACTGTGTGACTGTTGTGTCTTCCGATACTGACGACTGGCAGACGAATCGAGACTAACACGCAGGCACGTACACACAAACACACACCCACACACACGTATTATATCCAAAACAACGGCATGTGAAGAGAACAACACACCCAGCGCGGAAAAGAGAATGAACACAGTAATGGCCTGCACTTGCGAGCTGCTTGCAAAGACAGCCATGCCAAATCCTAATGACGTCAAGATCTTCTGCTCTCGAGACTCTCGACAGCGGCTGCTAACGCGGGCAGACGCTCGTCGGCTGCTTTGCGATCAGATGCGAATAGACCTAGTAGACTGAACAGAAAGAGTATTCCATACTCACCGTGATGGAGCCTCGTTCACGGAATTGTTGTTGTTGGTAAAAGCTGTATTGGATGCTGAAGCAGTCAGCTGCAGACCTGTCAAATGGGGGCGTCTTCGGGCCGCAAGACGGCGCTGCGCTCGCTTTATTCTCTGATGCGGACCGTCTTCATGTTGTTGCACTTTAAGGGGAGATTCACCGCTACGTAGTATTTTGCTCAACATTAAATAGCTCGAACAGCCAATCTCGGTACAGATGTGCCGTTTGGACACTTTACGCCATTGAGTTATTATTCATCAGGTGAATTGTTCGGTAGTTCGCGTGTGAATGCGGCACTAGTTTCGAGGTAATAGCCCATCGACACTCTTCAGTTGAACCAGTTAAATAGCCTTCTGCATTACATCACGTGAAGCTGGAAAATGGACGAACTCGGTGAGTGTCTTAGAAATGTTAACGGGCCTATTTTCCCCTAGTGGAGTTTACTTTCACAAAAAACGGGTACAAAAAGGGTAATAAACAATGTCTGTTCAATCACTGTCCCTGAAACAGAGCCAGTTTCTTACAGTACTGCCGTTCTCTATTGTACGCCGAACGTCATAGTATAACCATTGTGAATAATGCTGCTTCCTTCGCTAAATGTGTTTTTCCTTAAAACTTATTTCTTTTTTATGTTTCTTCAAAAATCAATTATTAAATGTGTGACAGTGACATATGGTGCTAGCGTTGAAAAGAATCGAAGTACGAAGTTTATTTTCGTTGAAAAAGCGCGCTTCTATAGGTAGTCGTCGGTGGATGCTGGTTCATGAAATTACTTTTAAAATTGTTCCTCGAGTTAACTATAATGTTCATACATTCATACACACTTGGGACGAGTGTCTACGACGGCTCGAGTTAGTCGATCGTAAAAGACGTTAACACTTACTACTACGTGTTTGAACATTGTAGTTCTTTTCGCTAGGAAAGTGGCCATTACCAGAGACTGTATCGTCAATCATTATCATCACCTTTTAATCTGATAGGGATTCTATGACGAATAAGCATTTACGTTTAATATTACTACAACACTTACGATTGTCGTCACAAGTGAAAGCACCTGAACGTCAGGAGTTTCCATGTTTCTACCGCAGTCAAAGCACTGCATCCGAAACGTGTGTCATCGCGTATTCATTTATTAAGTCAATACGCAGCGGAAGCTTATCACTATCGCTATGAATCCAGCGTCATGGAAAAGCTGGGTGTGATGTTGTTTTCAGTGGAAATTAAAAGAAGCACGCCGCATGGACAACGACTTAACAGGCTGTTTTTATATAGCCGACCTCAGGAAACTCAGATCTGTTTTCCAATGACGCCGAAATGCCGCTATCTTTTTTTCGTTGACTACAAAAAGGTTTATTTCGGCATTTTATTTGGGAAATTTCCGGCTTAGCTTTTGCTGTTGATCTTGTTACTGTCTTCGTCGTTGTTAAGGCAGCCGCGTTCTGAGAAGAAAACGAGGCACCAAAACCAAGTAATAAGATTTTGGATACTGAAGTTACGTTTATTTGAAATAGACCGCCCTCTTTCATTTTCAATCGCCATAGTGTCTCTACAAACCTGTCGGTGTTCTCGAACTTCTACTTACCGCTATAGATGCTACTGCCTTTTTGCCGATGTGGGCTCTACACACATTCTGCGGGCCCTTGGGCATTGATATACTCGCATGCGGGTCAGTTTTGCTGCTGGAGAAGTCTTTGGGGTGCTTTATTACAAGTCGCTTGGATCTGCATAGTGGTGCCCCTGCCGTTTGGCACCGGGGATTTCTGTAAATAGATAGGGACAAACCAGAGAAAGAAACAATATATTAGTCAATTACAGATTTGTCTTTTATAGGTTTAAAGCAGATACAAAGTACTTTCTCTATCCGGCTAATTGCAGCATGTTCTTGTATGCATTTCCATACACAATTTAAATGTAGTCAACTTCAATTGGAGCAAATCATTTGCCCACCTGAAGAAATAATTCGGCGATGTTGTCTCTTATCTTGGCAGCGTGACGCACAGTCTCTTACGACACCGCAGTCGACGTTAATTAGTAGAGTAGCCGAGCAGTAGAAAGCTATTAATTGCTACAGATGCGGTTTAACGTATATGTAATTTTGTGGTTTAGCCAATATGCGTGTGGCGATAGGTTCTCCAGCCCGAACCGAGCAGCCGTTCCGAATGCTCACCGGCGATCGCCAAGCAGACGACTCAGTCGAAATGAACTGATCCGCTGATCAAATTGCAGTGATCGATCCGATTTGAAGAAATCCAATGAAACTGCTGATTTGTTGCCTGCACAGAATGTATTAAAATACCGTTTATTTTAAATATCCTTCTGGCTGGTTTTGTACTGCATATCAGTTTTGCAATCGGCGTTAGGATTGGGGATCTAGAGTCATCACTCAAGTGCCGCATTCAGACCTTTATCATTTCCTGTTGAAGAGTCTAACGGCAGAACATTTACGCACTTGCGCGATCGCACCATGTGTGAGTTCTGTATGGGTGGAAGTCCGTCACAATTTTTCCGTATAGTATATTGGCTCGCATACGACTAATGCGTCTGTTAGAAGGCAAAATCAGCGGATCCTGTTACTATTGTTCCAATAACAGTAAACAAAGTTGCAGTTTAACAGCAACAAGATCGGCAACCTGAGCGTTACTGACGAGTCATTCTATCACTCCACTAAGCCAAACTACGATGACTACCACTAAATCACATCCACGAAAAATACAGTCGAGCCATCATCAAGCATCGGTAACCAATGGCATGCGCGAATAATAGCGGCAACATCCCATTTGCTAACGTAGCGATGGTCGCGAGACTTACCACGCTCCTTAATGAGGCGATAGACGCTCTGCTTGCTGTAATTGCTTACAGTCGTACCGCGCTGTTGCCATATGATTCTTTCGCCCTTTTCGTAAAAATAATAACATGGAAATAGCAATGTGCGCATGTGCCTGTATGTACAGTGTGCATGGGTGTGGTGCGCGGTTTCTCTCATTTCGTGTGATCTCCATATGCTTTGCCGCCTGTCGCTATCTGTATCGATCACATGGATTTGCTAATTTCGCTTTTCTCCACAGTTACAAGAAGCGGTCGTGGTAAGAAAGGTAACACATTTACAGATTCACACAAATATACGCTGGCGGACGCATACAAACGGTTAAAGACACAACGTCTCCTACATAGACACTACACAACACCGTAAAAATGGTCGGTGCTCATCCGGCGGCCGCTGGATGGCTTGCGATGTAAACAGTCATCCACTGCCCTGTCACGTACTTTTTCTACCCGATTCTCTGTGCGTCGTGCTCGACATGGTCCACGAAGGACGATTGATTTCTCAACAAGTATCTGCTGCTGCCGCCGCCGCCGCTAGACCGAACGTGTTACTCGTTCTTAGTTGCACGGTGTTATTATTCTATAACGTATTTTCTCTAGTATTGGGTGTAGCACTGAATGAGAAATGTACTAGGGGGAACTGAAGGAGTTGTAACCAACCTCAGCAATAACGGCACGAAGAATGGCAACAGCAACGGTTGTTGTTGACGGTATCATCGTTGTCGTCGACTTTGTTATATGTGTATTATTAGCAACTGTTCTAGTCTACCAGTGGCGTCTGCCGTTGCTATGGAAAAAAAACGCAACTGGTGGACGTAGCAGTGACACAACTCAAGTCAAGGACTAGACTGACTGTAGTTCTGTCTCTGTATTTGTAGGGTTCACATATTTTCGTTTTACGCTTTTTCTCTCTCCCTCCATTTCTTTCTGTTTTGGTTATATTTCTCTGGCGTGTCAATCGTAATGCCCTTGTCTCCAAGTGAGTCTTCGCTTACACAAGGAGGAAGCTATGAGCGCGGGTGGGGCTGTAATAACAACAAGCGGATCGACCAGCAGAGCGTCGTAGCGTTACGTAACAGCGTTAGTTAACCCAACAACTAGCTCTTTCGCATTGTCTAGTAGCATCATCGGTCGTTCGATGGATCATATCTATTGTTTTGTTTGCTGTTGTTGTTATATATTATGTATATTACATTCATATTATACATATTACTGTTATTATGGTCAGGGCATCACATGGTAAGCTCTGGCACAGTATACACCGTAGCAATAGCGCAGTCAGTGGACTTTGATGCAACCGTTGCCGACTTCGAGACAAATGATATTATCACCGCCATCGGAATCGTTGAGTCAGCCCCCGCCTTCGACCGACGGACGACAAGAGGCTGATCCTATTTGGCGAGAATCAGAGGCGTCTACGCTCTTGCTACGGTGACCACTGCTGTTTTTCGGTGTTGTGTGACGGGTCTGCGAACCTTGAACGCGCATTCATACTTCGTCCTCCTTCGCAGTCGCTATTGGCTCTCCTTAGCTGTTTTGACGTTCTTTCCTAGAGTAGTTCTCCGCTCTGAAAGTCAGCCTCTCTCATCCTCATTGGTCGCTGTTTCGCTATCGGTCGCGTATTGTTTGTCATTAACGCTTCGGCTATGCACAGCTAAGTTTAGCTGGTTGGCTTGTTAGTTATTACGTTACGTTGGTTACAAACAAGTACTACGTCGCCGTGTCAATCGGTCCCTGTTGGCTTACTTAGGTTGAACTCAACTCGACGGTTATTTGTTGTCGTCGCTTTGTATATTATTGCTGCGATAGGGTGACGCCGCTGAGGGTGCATTTAACTATTGCACACTCGGTCTATTGATGGCAATTTGTTTCCGCCAACACACGACGCTCGGTTAATCGTCGAGAGGTGGTTCACGCGACAAGAGTGAGTGCGGTCAATGGGAGTTAATTTTTGGTAGGCGTCGAGGGAGGAGCAGAAGCGAGTGATTGGCAGAAAGGTGGTCACTTCGTTGCCATTTGGTCTTGCTTCTCAGTGACTTCGGTTATAAGGCAGACCGATTCTAGCAGAAGTAGCAAACACAGGTTGCTTCATACACTATACGTGTTCTGCTTGCAAACGTTTGAGGTGTAGAATGCAGTGAAATCTATTATAAACTTTTACGTGTTGTCCACTAGTTGTGCTAAGTAATAGAAACGTCATTGAACGAAGAACAAATCAACGAACGGAACATTGGTGATTTGCGGGTAATTTGCCGTAAATATATCTGTTGTGTGTATCTGCACGCTAATGAAGATAAAAGAAGGCTTGTAGTAGTGGCAAAATAGAGCCATATATAAACGCAGATGCAGTAAGAACTAACAAGTGAAAAGTGACGAAAGCCGCACATACATAAAGAAAGTCCCTCACGCTTCGACAGAAAGATACAAAAGATGAGTGACGCAACAGAGGCTATGCCCGCTACAAAGCTTGTTCAAGCGTTAGAAGCCACTGATGACTCGACCGGAAACACGGCTGCTACATCGATTACAAATGGAAACTCAATTAAGGTAACTGACGAAGGTAAATCTGTCGCTTTGGCTACCACAAAGCATGTTCTGACAGCCGATCAACCGAAGGAGGCTGCACAAGCACATATCGAAAAAGCAAAACCAGTTGCCAGTTTGGCTGGCGGGACAACTTCCGAAGCAACAGAGGTGTTCACGGCAAACATGAAGATCCGAGAAGGCGAAACTGAGGTGCAGGAGGTGTCGATAGAGATCAGGGCCGAACAACTGGAGGTGTCGGAGCAAACGGGGCCTGTGGCCGAGGAAACCGTAGGGTACAAAGAAGGCAATGATGATATTTGTGCAATTGTTGAACTAGTACTGGATCAGCAAAAGAAGAATGCTGAGAACGCGGGTTCTGCTGAGCTAAGAAAGCGGGAGACGGCCACAGCAGCGAAAAAAGAGGCGCTTCAAGAACCGTGCAACTTCAGAATTGTCGTCAGCGACATCGACGATGGTATCTAGGAAGAGCGATTCGTCGTTAATATAATTATTATACATTTAATTGTTGCTCTTTGTGTGTTTATACGTGCCTGTTGTAGAATGCTAACACGAACAGCCATAGTTAATCAGCGACGTACGCCGCTTGGATAATTCGAGCTAGACTTTGTTCCACTGACTTCATAGCTTATCTGTGGTCGTAGTCACTTGCCGATGACTACGTAAACGAGAATAGTTAGACATTGTGTGTTCTAAGCAGATTCATTTATTGAGAAGTGATGTTTTTGCAAAAACTCGAACTTCTTAGCATCGATGTCAATTAAGTTGTGATAACTCAAACGTCCAATTGCCAAATAAGTTCATTCATTTATCGAACTTTCCAATAAATCAAAAGTGACGATTGCACTTAATAGAGAGAGCCCCCGGACCACTTTACCTTAATGTAATTCCTGTAAAAAATTGTTGGTTTCACATAAACTTTGTCTTGTTGGCGACTAATTTGTACTACACGCACGTACATTGCACTACTGTTCCAGTAGGGCTGTATTATCGACTACGAAAGCTTTTTACTGCTTCACTATGTTTGACTGATTAAACGAACACAACATAATTTTTTTTTTTGATTCCTACTCAGTTTATATACTTGAGCAGTTTTTCGTGAGCATTAGTGTGTTCACCGTGACGTACTGTTTAAAGAATTACGGAAAATGCTCATATTCAGGTAACTCTTTATGCATTGTCGTAAAATAGATATGGAACTAGTGCAGCTTGTTTGTTAGACGAGAGGAAGTCCCTGAGGTCCATGTACATCGATATGTAAAATCGAGCTCACCCCACTAAATAAAGCACGTTAAGTTCAGTATATAATTGAAATATTAAGACTCGTGAAAATGCCACCTAAATAATTGGCTTCCGTTCACTCTGTAACCGGAAAAAGCTCATGATGGTGATGATGAGGGTTACCAAGACAAAAGTAAGTCGCGAGAGCTCGAGATGGGCCTTTCCTATGTAAATGAACCTTGTTATTGTATTTTTGAAATTGTGAAAAATGACTCTCAATGGTTTTTTTTACGTAGTCGTATCAGACAAATTAGAATTGTCTCGGGTATCTCTCCTCGTTTAACTACAAATGCCGGTTTTTTGTTACATCTGAGTCATCCACAGTCAAAATCTTGCTTCACTAATAATAATATAATAAATAATTATTAATGAGTGTTTTCTTAGTGAGAGCTAGTAGTTGAAAGTAAGTGCTTTGATTCTTTTCCGCAAAGTCAGTGTTCTTCACGTGCTTGAATTTGTACAGAATTCAATTGAGCGTTATCTTAGGCGTACAACTGTGTGATTTTATTGCCTTTTTTTTTTAATTTTAAACGAAGTAAACGCTATAATTTCTACGTTTGGAGAGAGCAAGTGAGTCCGAAATCGCAATTTGCAATTAAACCTTGGGAAGATTCAGTCAGATCGTTTCATTTCCTCAGTGGAGATACAGCGCATAGGTCAACCCTAATCGTCTAATAGATACGATGACTTGTTTTGAACTTTAAACGAATACCATAACTTCTAGATTCCAAGCATCTTGCAAATTTTGTGGAGCGCCTCATTTTTGTCCTCTCTACACTTCTCTGAATTTCGCTACGAATCTCTAGATCGTTGCACCAGTTGATGTACAATCATAGTGGGCTGCAAATATCTCCGAAAGGATACGATCAAAAAGCCGCATAATTCTTGAGAGTGCATACTTAGTTAACATGAAGCTCCAAAATCGTAGAGAAGGATGATGATTCTTGACGATCTCAAGGAGTTGACTGGCTCTATTGCCTCAAACAATGTCAGTACTCGCTCAAATTATGCTACCATCGGTAAATATTTTGCGATATTTCGTTGCCATATAATTACGTAATTTCTACTGGGAAACACGTAAAGCTGTGTCGCATCCAGTTTCTCGGAGAAGAAACACACTTTTTCGAATTGACGTTTTTATGGTGCGTATGAACGGTAATCAGAACGTAAGTCTAAGTAATTTTTTTTTAGTTAAGACAGATTTTCCTCTGCGGTCTATGTAATCAATGAATAACCTCTCATATTGTAGGCTTGGTAGGACTTGATTGCATATGTACAGAAATGCGATCAATTTCTAGGTCACTACATGCATCATCCACATACGTGTAATCGTTGCGTTCATTGAACGCGACTGCATACTGAACGAGTCAGTAGAAAGTGGCACGAACGACTGGTCAGGTTAACTAGGCGGTAACCATAGTGATGATGACGATAATAATTGTCAGTACCATAACGCATTTTCTTACTGCGACGAGGGGGGGCAGCATATAGTCTCCAAATAAATTGGCCGTGGTACGATGTGAAGATAACATAGAATTCACTGGCGCATCGGGTGACGTACTGACTGGCTATATTTTTCATAAATCTACTAAAAATAATCGTATGAAGGTCTATATACCCTTACAGGGTTGACTGGTGGATTGAAAAGCAAATAGTAGCATATAATATAGTATGTATATAAATCGTTTTTGATATTCGTTCGATTCTTGTTTGTTGTGTGAATTTCAGTGAACACCCGGGCGAACGCTGAACGGATTCAAAATGTCGAGAACTGTTTCGGATCGTCGGGACAGGTGAATCTCCACTGAATGATGTGATAAGATCAGTGGATCTCGTTGATATAGGTAGACGAGTTACACCGAAAAGATTTCCAGATAAAAAAGAAACACAGTCAGTTTAATTTCTGCACTTATTCAAAGTAACTTATGGTATTGGTTTCAAGGTATGCGTATACCTTCCGTAAATCACACTTCTACACGACTGATGGAGATTTACAGTTTTATTAGAATGACATCTGAGTATTTTACTTTTGCTTTCTGTTTAACGATGAGAAAGTATTACAGTAGAATTTGCTTTCTATACTCAAATATTGAGTATTTGTAAATATTACGCAGCAGCTACAGTTATCAAGGTCTGATTTGTGATCTTATATCAACTGTTCTTGCTATCCTAGAATCATGACATGATGTACAATGTGACACGAGTATTTACAGTGGTTTAACTCGTCTATCACAAAATCTCAGACTAGTCTTTCTAATTTCAAAGAGATTGTTAACAGTATAGTGTTGTTATCCCATCAGACAATTATCGCTAATGATGTCAATACTTTTCAGTTATAAGCACTATTATTATGCAATTAATAATAATGCTTATAACTTATAACTTATAGAGCAATAATAAGTCTGTAAACTCTCTAACGTATAGCGTGATGCCCTTTCGTTGCGATTTCGTCCCTGTGATTAAGCCTGGTTTCGCTTTGCCATGATCTGCGTTCAACACTTTTGCAGCGGACGAATATCTCATATATGTTATCTAAACATTTATCGCTTGATGTCGCCTATTAGCCCTATAATTATCTTTGATTCGGATCACCGGCAGCAATCGGACAATAAGCTATTGGCAGTCTAAATCAGTAAGCAGACATCGTCTTTTTTCGTTCCAGCAACGAGCGTTAAAACGACTAGCTCAATAATCCAACGATTTATATGCGAAACTTGCACGGCGAGTCTTGGACATTTTTTTTTTATTTCAAACTGATTTGTTGTTCCATCGTGCAAATATACGAACATATACATAATCTCAATAAATTCGAAATTCTACGTAGCGAACGTCAGCGCTTATCGTCAGTTGAATTAGCGAATAACCAGTACGCCATTCAAAATGAGTCACGTCTTAAGGTTCGAGAGAGCAAATAGCTTTATCCTAGTCATGCGAGTTAAGTAAACTTTATATCAGCTCATTATGGTCATCCATAAAAAAAATCCTTAAAGCTCTATTCCGTAGAAACCATCTACAGTTGTACAGACCAAACACGTAAACCTCAAATATGGATTAGCTTGCGAAATTTGAGGCTTCAGAATTTGCTCCGACCACCATTACATTTAATAAGCTCTGAATGTACGAGGCCATTAACATTGCATAGAAAGCAGTTCACCAATAGGTTAACGACCATCTGCAGTATCGACAATGGAATCATGTTGACGTCAGTCATACGCCAGGCGTATTTGTAGAACTTTATCGCTCAACAATACCAGATCAATTCGTGCGTGCTCCGCTGTGTAAACGTAGATATAACATAGTCTATCTGCTGTTGAAATATATATCATGACCCATATAAGCGATGGGAATAGATATCAAGGGACGCAGTAACTATATTTAAAAAGAAAATATGATTCCTGTCCTTAGCAGCGACAGGCTTTTACGTCACTCGTAAACTTATCAGTCTTCTAGGCTATGTCAGCTGTAACGGATAACATATCTAGCTTAGTAGAATATTAGTCCAATGTATATGGTTTGGTTTTTGCAGGCTTTGCCCAATAATGACAGAAACATAAAAGAAAAACAATGGCTAGAAAGATTCGAGTTTGAGAAACTAAATCTTAAGCAAATGTTTAAGTTATTTAATAATACCGATTAGATACACTAAATGTAAAAATATATATATAAAAAATACATGAGTAATACTGCTACGATTACGGATACCTTCGCGTTGGCATGTAATTTCGTGTTATTGTTCTAGACGTGATAATAACAACTTAATTAAAAAAAAATACTCATTGTGTTTTTGTCAATAAAACAGTCTTTACGAGCGCCTGGCCGTGTCCTCGTCGGAGAAGGTGTACTCACCAAAATGTGCCGCAAGAAGCCGAAGCCCCGACAAGTGTTCTTATTCAATGACATCCTGGTTTATGGAAACATTCTTATACCCAAGAAGAAATATATCAAGCAGCATATAATTCCTTTGGAAAAAGTTTGGTTAGTGATATTTTTCGTTTATCATTTTTATGATTTATTTGTTGATTTTCTAATAATTAAATGCTATATGTCGATGCTGAAAAAACAGGAAGTGCAAACCGAGACCTCTTCGCATACGGTAAGATTTACTAGTTAAGGGATAGATATGCTCATCCAACAATTATTCTTCGTTGGAATCAAGAGAATTCTTGCCAAACTGGGTACGTTCTTTAGATTGAAAGTGCCATTTTAAAGCTAACCAAGCCATTAATCACACCTACTCCTGATTTCCTTGGCAACTTTTTGACCTCGATGTGAAAGGAATAAGTAATGTCAAAGAAATGTTACCAACAAGCGCTAGAAGTATAATTTTGACACAGATCGATAACAGTGGCGTGTAGAATTGTTCAGCGGCATCTAGGACTTAAACATAGCGAAGCAGAAAAGTACGAAAGTGAACCAATAAACGAGTTTTCTTTGACAGTATAATATTCCTGCGCTGTTCTGAGCCCCATTCGGAATTATTCCATCATCTAGCTCAAAAGGGCTTATCGATTTGGTTTGACCCATTTTTTGACACAAAATATAGATTTTCCCGGTTGGTATGAATCTCTATAGACGGGATCGTGCCATCAACGTCAAGCCAGTATCAAATATTTCGGTATGCGTCAACCGAATGATCGGCTGTTTAAATAATGTGGAGGACGACGTGCTATACAATCGTGAAAAACAATGTCACGACATTTTCATCATATGTGTATGCACATTGCCAATGCGAATTTTGGTTTTCCCATAATCGTTGAGAATTAAAATATAGACGTGTTCGAAAGCTAGTTCTAAATTTTTTCATTCATATCCTATAAATTGTGGTGGATTACAGTTTAGAGAATATTGAGGAAAGTGCTGACATGTGTCATGGCTGGGTTGTCCGAACTCCAACGAAATCATTCGTCGTCTTCGCCGCATCAAGGACCGAAAAACAGCAATGGATGACCCACATTACTACCTGTATTAATGAGCTGCTCAAAAAGAGTAAGTGCAAGGTGTTGCAAGGATGATCCGTTTCAACTCCATCTAAATTCACTCGCGGGACCACTTATAAAATGAAAAATTTGACTTTATTTTGGTTACATCATTTTGCTTAAACGATATACCTTTCTTTAAGCCGGGAAGCATCCGTCAAAAGAACATGCTGCCGTTTGGGTGCCCGATTCAGATGCTGGAAAATGCATGGTCTGCAAAGAAACGAAATTCACGTTGCTCAACCGTAGGGTGCGTGTTAGTAGCATTAGCTGACTGATTCAGCTTGCGAATACACTTGCTGTTAATTGTACATAACGCCTCTGTTCGTTCACCATTTTACATATATATACATATATATAGATATATATATCTATATATAAATTCTTTTTACTATGGTTCTAATTTTCTGGCGGTTTTGTCGAATGTGTAGCATCATTGTCGCAAGTGTGGTTGTGTCGTTTGCGGCAACTGCTCGCAACATAAGTTTATGCTGCCAGCTCAGTCTTCGAAACCGCTGCGAGTGTGCGATAGTTGCTTCGACATATTATCTATGGGCAAGGGCGACTTTGCCGATATCGATCTATCCTCTGTACCGAATGCGCAGGATTCGAGGCAGCCCACAAAGAACGAACTGAGAGCTGCGGCTAAAGAACAGTTGAGTTCCTCTCGGGATGATACCACCGACGATTCAGATGACGACGAAGATGATGTCCCAAATCAATGCACCGAGCAGGTCCAACTCAAAGAAGAGAAGGTAGGTTCCACTGTAGCACTAAGGTGTAGGTTGACATCAATCCAGTGCAAACTATAGATTTGCAACGATAATGTGCGCTCCTTATATTACTACGCTTTAATGATCCCTTAATCGAAATATCACTTGTCGTTCTGGTTATCTGGACTGCTATTCGTTACATGGTATTCTCTGATCGAAACGAATTTACTGGTAAATGCGCCTTCCTCGAAACAATCCATTTCGTCCAACAAGAGCCCCATGAACTCCTATTTACCATGGTCTCTATTTTTTCTAAACAAGTTTTGTTTCCATCATGAGTGACATCGAGTCCGCTCCCGCTAATATGTTCCAATATAATCTATTATTACTTCTGTGCCTTGGAGACAGGTATTTTTCTTGTTTTCTCATTTGCCTCATAAACTCGGCTTACCCATCTATTGTCTACATTATCTATACATTGTCTACATTTCTACTGGGCAAAAATAATTCATAGCTTTCCTTATCACGTCACCAAACGCATCACTCTGTATGTGGCACATACTTCCATCACAGTGGATCTTTCAGCCGACTTTTTACTCTGGCGACGATGCGAACAAGGACGCACCGACTGAGAAAGACCAGTCGACTACGGTCCGGAACGCCGCCAAAAAGGACGACACCTGTTACGTGGCTCAAGAGAAATTTGACTCAATGAAGATCACTACGGAACAGAGCGGAAAGACCAACTAAAAATTGAATCTAACCTCGAAGTAACATCTTGGATGTGTTTCGTCGTCGTTGTTAGGTACGCAACAACTATTAAAAAGAAAAACCCATTTGGGTGTTAAGCTATGGATTCTTCACGTGCACAAACGTGCTGCAACAGAAGTAAACCGCGCTTAGGTACTATAAGTACGTCGGATTGCCACTTCGTCAATTGCAAAGCTGAATATGAAATGATTAATGGGGTGCGGGTATGCAAGGAACGAGAAGTCCTACAGAAAGAGAATGATTTAAAGACAAAGAAATGAGGCAGTTTTAAGAAGAATGCTAATGCCGAACCCACTCTAGAGTGAATAGGTCAATAAATTAAAGATTTGTAAAGTTGAGTTTCTAAGGAGCGCGGGGCAGCCGTGCTGCCGGCCAGCATCCAGGCTCTAGATGAAGAGGTGAAATGTAGGATACAGAGAGAGCAAATTAAGTATAATGGCTTCAAGTAATAAAAGGCATATGACAATGTCCGGAAGAAAAAGCTTGTGCTTTGATTTGAGCACAGGAATCACTGACCGGTAGTGATAAAATAACAGATAAGAATAATAGATCGTTAAGACCAAATAGTGCAGCAAGATGATGTACGGTATTTTAAGCGGACGGAAGATAACTTCAACTAATAGCACCTCTAAACGAAGTAGTTTCACGAAGTGTATGCATGTGTGTAGTCTGATTTATTGTGTGAGTTTTTCATTATTGGCAATGCCTCGGCCAGCCATTGGCAAAAACGGGGAAAGTCAAGTATTTTGTACAACCACGAGGTGGTGTGAAAATCGATTCATATCGACGCTGATATATAAGTATTTTCACGACACGTCGTGTGGTCATCGGTAGGTTACGGAAAATTAATGACAATGGTATATTTGTTTCAGAGATAAGCGAGACCTCAGGGGTGGTATGAAAGCATTGAACAATGAAGAAAAATAACCACAGTACCCTCAGAAATCGCAAAAAATCCTATATATACATATACGCATATATTGAATTAATGTTTTCTGATTTATGTTAAGCAGGTGCAATGTTATGTGTGAAACTAGGACGAGGCAGATATTTAAACGAAGTCAATCAGAAGGATTATGGAAACCTCAAAGAAATGAGAAAAACAACAAAGCAAAAACAAACATACGAGCCACCATTATTTTTGACATTATTCTCACTATTAAATGGTCGTGCAGGAATTAGAATTGCTTTGTTTTTACGCAGGCAGATTTATATAGCCTTGCGCCGATCATTTATTAATTAAATAAAGAAAACTAATTAAGCATATATATTATAATAGCGACAGCCGAAGGCAAGGGTAAACAATCACTACAAAACACCAGTGCATTCCAAAATAGCGGGGAAGGAAAGGAAAAGTATTTGGATATCATTATATATTATATACAAAATATATAGAAAAAGAGAAGTCCCAAAAACATAAGTGTATGCATAAAGATATAGAATAAATTAATGCTTTTATACCTTTGTATAAATGGCGACTTGATTTAGTTATTATTATCTCTATCTATAATTATATCTTTTTGATGTTGTATATGATTACA